GACGGCCGAGATGGCGGAGGAGGCCCAGCAGCGGGCTGACGGCCTGGCCCTGGGGGGCAGTCACCTGCGCGTGTCCTTCTGTGCCCCCGGCCCCCCAGGCCGCAGCATGCTGGCCGCTCTCATCGCTGCCCAGGCCACGGTGAGTGGAGATGGGCCTGGGGGCGCCCTCAAGATGCCAGCGTGGCTGCCAGCCCTCTAAGCCACCATCCCTTCCCCTCCCCAGGCCCTCAATCGGGGCAAGGGGCTGCTGCCGGAGCCCAACATCCTCCAGCTGCTCAGCAACCTGGGCCCATCCGCCTCCCTCCAGCTGCTGCTCAACCCCCTACTCCACGGTGGCGCCGGCGGCAAGCAGGGTAAGTCGAGGCTGCGCGGCCTGGGGTGGGGTGTGGAATGGGGGCGAGGGGACGGTTCGCCTCCCCTTTCTGGGCCCTGCCAGCACGGCCACAAGGCCTCCGAGGGTCTGTGTCCTGCCATCAGCAGGCCTGGGTGAAGGGCGGGCCAGCACCCAGCTCCCCATATCCCCGCAGGCCTCCTGGGAGCCCCCCCAGCCATGCCTCTGCTCAGCGGGCCCGCCCTGTCCACGGCGCTGCTGCAGCTCGCCCTGCAGACCCAGACCCAGAGCCAGGCTCAGAAGGTGAGGCCACGCCCCGCGGCGGCCACGCCCCGCGGCGGCCACGCCCCGCCCCCCGCGGCCACGCCCCGCCCCCGCGGCCACGCCCCGCCCCCGCGGCCACGCCCCGCCCCCGCGGCCTGCGCGTTCCCGTGGGGCTGCTCAGGCCCCTCCCCTGCACACCCGTCCGCTTGCCCATGCAGAGGCCGTGGGGCGTGGATGGGTGCCACTGTGGGTTTGCCTCACTCCCCTTCCACCCCCCCAAGCTGGCATGGGGCGGCCAAGCCCATCTGCTGTCCAGGTTACACCGGCCTGTCTCCAGCTGACTGTGCTCTATTCTAGAAGCCGGGCATTCTGGGAGACTCACCCCTGGGCACCCTCCAGCCGGGCACCCAGACTGCCAGTCCTCTCCTTGGGGAGCTGTCTGCAGGTAACACCCACTTCTCGCCCACCCCCCCCAACACTGGCAGAAGCCCACGGCGTGGCCTTGGCCGAGGTCACTGGCTCATGATCCCCCCCCTTTGTCCATAGGGGGAAATCTGCCCTCAGAGCTGCTGCCCGGACGGGGAAAACCACCCCCCCTGCTGCCACCGCTGCTGGGCCCCTCTGTGGGCGACCGGGACACCATGGGTCTGGGTCCCCCGTCCGCCCAGCTCACCCCACCTCCTGCCCCTGTGGGGCTCCGTGGCCAAGGAGTCAGAGGCCTGCAGAAGGACAGCGGGGCCCTGCCTGCGCCCACCGGGGTAAAGCGCCTTCCACCCCTCCCCCCACCCCCTCTGCCTGGGACCTTTGTAAATCTGCTCCTTTCTTCCCAGGTGTCGCTGCTGGGGGAGCCCCCCAAGGACTATCGGATCCCCCTGAACCCTTACCTGAACCTCCACAGCTTGCTTCCTGCCAGCAACCTGGCAGGGAGTGAGGGCCGGGGCTGGGGAGGTGGCAACCGAGTCCGCCGCCCACCCGAGGCCCCCACACCCCCTCCCCGGAGCGCGGGGGGAGGGGGCGGCAGCAAAGCTTTTCCACCCAAGTCCCGCCTGCTCAGCCCCCTCTCCAGCTCCCAGTTACCCCCTGAACCAGGGCTGCCTGACAGCTTTGGCTTCGACTACCCTTCGGTGAGTACCTGCGGCGGACCTGGGGCTGGCCAGCTCTTTTGTTTATTTTTGGTCGGTTGTGGGCCTTGAACTCTGGGCCTGAGCGCTGTCCCTGAGCTCTTCAGCTCAAGCCTGGCCCTCTACCGCTTGAGCCACAGCGCCCCTTCTGGTTTTCTGATGGTGTTATTGGAGATAAGAGTTTCATGGACTTTCCTGCCCGCGCTGGCTTTGAGATCTGGTCCCCAGATCTCAGCATGAGTAGCTAGGATGACACGGGAGCCACCGGCCACCGGCGCCCGGCTGTGAGACTCTTGTGCCCAACTCATCAGCAAAATGCCCCAAGAAGGAGGTGTGACTCAGGTGGTAGACTGCCAGCCTTGAGCAAAAAAAGCTAAGGGACAGTGCCGCCAGGACCTGGCTTTGAACCTCTAGTACCAGTGCCCCCCAAAAGGAAGGAAAGGAGGAAGGAGAGAGAAGACACGCACGCACGCCAGTCTTGTCAATGTTCACGCATGGCCATTCCTGTTCTCCACAGTGGCTCTTGGGATGGGTGGCCGCATCTGTGATTCTATGGCCACTCCAGGACCAAATTTGCCGGGGGGGGGGGGGGGGGGGGGGGGGGGGGCAGGACATGGTTCTATGGGGCCAGCCAGGCTGTGAAATTGAGACAGGGTGAGGCTGGCACAGAACCTCATCTCTTCTGCTCCGGTGCCTTTCCTGCAGGACGTGGGACCTCGCGGGCTCTTCCCCCATGCTCGGGAGCCAGCCCTGGGGGCTCACAGACCCAGCCGGCACAAGGTAGGAGCTGCCTGTGCGTTTCAGCCCTGTGGCTGTGCGGACTCCTTGCTCTATCATTGTGTAGCCTTTTTTTTTAAAAATTTTTTCTGAGATGTTGTTGGGGGTCCTTGTGCCTCAGCCTCTGAGTAGCTGGGACTATAGACGTGAGCTACCAGGCCTGGCTGCGGACATTTTTTCCTTTCTTGCCATTCTGCAGCGTGGCGGGTGGTTTCCTTGGTTGCTCGCTCCCTAGGGGCTCAGTGGCTGTCCCCAGGCTGTTGAAGGTCAGGGGGACCCCCCCCCAGGTGTTGGTCACTGGCCCATGGGGGCCCCACCATCCCAAGTCCAGCCCAAGTTCATTTGAAGATGAGGGGAGAGCTTGCATTGCCAGCTCTCTGTAGGGTGTCACTCAGCCTTGTTTGGGCCCGTCCAGTGGCCTCAGTCAGTCCACCCCTCTCTGCAGATATCCCCCCACCCAGTGGCTATGGAGATCGGAGTGGCGGAGGAGGCGGGCCCCTCTTTCACACTTCTACTCGGGCTCCCCGACATCCTACTTCACCAGTGGCCTGCAGGCCGGCCTCAAACAGAGCCACCTCAGCAAGGTGAGGAAGGACACGTTCCTGCAGGAGGCGGGTCCCCAGGCTAGCCAGGATGCTGGGGTGGCTGGGGTGTCAGGGATCAAACCTGCCCGCTGTGTGCAGAATGCCACACTTCCGGCTTCCCCATCAGCCCCCAGATGGGAAACTGAGGCTCTGGGAAGTGGAATCTGCCCACTGGAGAACCTCCTGTCCCAAGAGTGACCCCACCCCCCCACCCCCACCCCGTCCCCTTTCTGCAGGCTGTTGGATCCTCCCCGCTGGGCTCCAGTGAGGGGCTCCTGGGCCTTGGGCCCAATGGCCATAGCCCCCTGTTGAAGGTATTGGCAGGGAGTGGGGGGACACACGGGGCTGGGGAGCCCCCTGCCTCCCCGCCCCCCTCCCTGATGCAGCCCTTCTTCTCTTCTTTGTCTCCAGACCCCGCTGGGCGGCCAGAAGCGTAGCTTTGCCCACCTGCTGCCCTCGCCCGAGCCCAGCCCCGAGGGCAGCTACGTGGGCCAGCACTCGCAGGGCCTGGGCGGCCACTACGCAGACTCCTACCTGAAGCGGAAGCGCGGAAGCGGATTTTCTAAGGGGCCTCCCCCGCAGCACAGCGCTTTGGGGGGGGGGGGGTTCCTGGGTTTTGTGGGATGTCCCTCCCCCCTTCCTTCCCCCCCCAATTTTCTTTCAGTACTAAGAGAAATCTCGGGAAAGACTTCGCTGACCAAGGAACTGGAGCCCAAGGAAATAAGAGGGCTTTGGGAGCCCCCCCCCCCCCCATGTCCGGGCCTGCTCCCATGCGCAGAAAACCTGCAGCCTTAAGAGAGAGGCGGCACCGCCTGCTCGCTCCTCCCTGGGCCCTTCCTCCCGTGCCGGCTCTCAGGGGTCCCCCCCCCCCCTCGCCTCATCACTCCTGTGTTTTGGCCTTTCCAGTGCCTTGGAGGCCCCTGACCTCCCGCGAGGATCAGAGACTGTCTGGCCTTTTTTAACTTTTGACAATGGACTTCGGTTTTCTTTTATAATTTTTTATGATTCCTCTTTCGTTTTTTAACCATCGAGATGCCCCTCCCCCGCTCTGATTCCTGCCGGGCCTGCAGCGCACACTGCGGGTCGGCGGCCCCACTCTCTTCTCCCGCGTGTGTGCTGTGGGCATGGCGGTGTCCGGCCCCCACAAGCCCACTCTGGCCAGTACCCCCCCCCCCGCTGCGATTCCCCCCTCACCTCCTGATGCCTTAAAGTTGGGCCCCAGGCTTCGCCAGCCAGAGCTTCTCAGACGCCAACCTCTCCCCCTCCCCACTCCCCCCGCAAAGCTTTGACTCAGGACCAAAACATCTCTGGCCTGAAGATTGGGCCCCCCTCTCGCCAGATCCTCCCCTCCACGGGGCCCGAAGGCCAAACAAAGCCTTGGTCTTGGCAGTCTCCCCCCTCCCACCCAAGCCTAGGCACAGAGAGGCGCCCCCGCCCCCCTCCCCCCCCCCCCCCCCCCCCCCCCCCCCCCCGCCGGCCACGGCCTCTGAGCAGATGCCAGCCTCGCTCTGTAAACAGAGCCGCCACCACCCTAGGTGCCGCAGGACGCACCGTCCTGCCCCGCCCACCGGCAGGACGTGTCCACGCGGGGGGGGGGGGGCGCCCTGTCCAGCCGGGCCCCCCGCTTCCCCCGGACTCTGGGGCGCACGTCCACGCCAGGGGGTGCCTTCCCCGTTCTTTCCACACAGAGACCTTTGCTGAATTAAAGTTTGTAAGTAAACGGTTTTAAAGAGATCACGGCTGGCTGGTTTCTTGGGGGACACACGGACGCCGGGGTGGGGGGTCCAGGATGGCCCCCACACACGTGTTCGCGCCGGGGACACACCCCGCTCCCCCAGCTGCTGGCGACCGGGACGCGGCGCGCGCGGCGCTTCCAGGTATTACGGGCGGTCGGCGCCGCGCATGCTCAGTGCCCAGGTCACGTGACGCCTGTCATGGGCCGCCTCCATGGCCCGAGGCGGCGTGAATGCCGGGTTCTTGCTCCGGGCGGCCCGAGGCTCCTGGTGGAGTTGGTCCGGGGGAACGGCGGCCCCGGAGGCGACCCGGAAGCTGGGGAGCGCGGGTACGTGGGTGCCGGGGGCCGCGCCCGGGCGCCGCCGGGGCCGCTGACGCCCGCGCGTGTCTTCCAGGCTCTGCATCCGCGGGAGAGGCGGCCGGAGGCCCCCGAGCGGCCGGGGGACGTGTGAGTGCGGGGGGGGGGGGGGGGGCCGCGCCCCGAGCCCACGTCCGCGCCCCGACCCCGCGCCCCGACCCCGCGCCCCGACCCCGCGTCCGCGCCCCGACCCCGCGCCCCCGACTCCCCCCCGCGCCCCGACCCCGCGCCCCGACCCCCCCCGCGCCCCGAGCCCGCGCCCCGACCCCCCCCGCGCGCCCGACCCCGCGTCCGCGCCCCGACTCCCCCCTGCGCCCCGAGCCGCGCCCCGACTCCCCCCCCGCGCCCCCGACCCCCGCGCCCCGACCCCCCCCCCCGCGCCCCGAGCCCGCGCCCCGACACCCCCCGCGCCCCGACCCCGCGTCCGCGCCCCGACCCCGCGTCCGCGCCCCGAGCCCGCGCCCCGACCCCCCCCCCCGCGCCCCGAGCCCGCGCCCCGACCCCCCCCCGCGCCCCGACCCCGCGTCCGCGCCCCGACCCCGCGTCCGCGCCCCGACTCCCCCCTGCGCCCCGAGCCCGCGCCCCCGACCCCCCCCCGCGCCCCGACCCCCCCCCGCGCCCCGACCCCGAGCCCGCGCCCCGAGTCCCCCCGCGCCCCCGACCCCGCGTCCGCACCCCCCCCCGCACCCGAGCCCGCGCCCCGAGCCCGCGTCCGCGCCCCGACCCCGCGCCCCGACTCCCCCCCGCGCCCCGACTCCCCCCCCGCGCCCCGACTCCCCCCCGCGCCCCGACCTCCCCCCCCCGCGCCCCGACCCCGCGTCCGCACCCCCCCCCCCGCACCCGACCCCGCGCCCCGACCCCGCGTCCGCACCCCCCCCGCACCCCGACCCCGCGCCCCGAGTCCCCCCGCGCCCCGACCCCGCGCCCCGACTCCCCCCGCGCCCCGACCCCGCGTCCGCGCCCCCCGACGCCCCCGCGCCCCGCGTCCGCACCCCCCCCGCACCCCGACCCCGCGCCCCCGACCCCCGCGTCCGCACCCCCCCCGCACCCGACCCCGCGCCCCGAGTCCCCCCCGCGTCTGCACCCCGAGCCCGCGCCCCGAGCCCCCCCCCCCGCGCCCCTAGCCCGCGTCCGCACCCCGACCCCCCCCCCCCCCCCGCCCCAGCCGCGAGGCCCGCACCCCCAAGCCCCGGCCCCCCCCCCCCGACCCGCCCCGCAGGGTGAACGTGGTGTTCATAGACCCGCGCCGGACAGCGGATCCCCGTGAGCGGCAGAGTCGGGGACGACGTTCTTCACCCTGGCCCAGCGCCACGGGGTGGACCTGGAAGGTAGGGCCCGCGCCCGCGCAAAGCCGCGGGGAGAGAGAGAGGGAGAGAGAGAGGGAGAGAGAGTGTGAGTGTGTGTGTGTGTGTGTGTGTGTGTGTGTGTGTGTGCGTGTGCGCTGCGCGCGCTGGAGCTTGAACTCGGGGTCTTCAGGGGCTGGGCGCTGCCCTGAGCTCGATCACGTGATTGTTCCACTCCCTGCTTTTTTTTTGTTGTTGTTTCCATGGTTAGTTGGAGATAGAGACACAGACTTACCTGCTTGGGCGGGCTTTGGAGTGCTACCCTTAATCTCAGCTTCCTGCGTGGCGAGGATTCAGGCCTGAGCCTTCAGGGCCTGAACACACTGCCATTCTTTTTTTTTTTTTTTCTTGCCAGTCCTGGGACTTGAACGCAGGCCCTGGGTTCTGCCCCTCAGCTTCTTTGGCTCAAGGCTAGCACGCTACTACCTGAACCACTGCTCCACTTCTGGCCTTTTCTGAATGGCTTATTTATTCAGAGATGAGAGTCTCAGAGACTTTTACTGCCCAAGCTGGCTTTGAACTGTGATCCTCAGATCTCAGCCTCCTGAGTAGCTGGGATTATAGGTATTGTTGTAAGCCACTAACAAGAGCCCAGATGACACTGCCCTTCTTCTGGTTGTTTTGAGACTGAGTCCTGCCCTGCTCTGTGGCCCAGGCTTGCCTGCAATTTACCAGACTCTTGAGTACTGAGCCACAGTAACTTTCTTCATGTATTTAGCAGCCAAACGCCCACCTCAGGACCTTTGTATTTCCTGTTCTCTGCCTCAGGTATATCTTCTCAGTAAATGTCACCTTCCTAACAGGTCATCTTCCTTAGCCAGTTAACTCGGTCATATCAGTATTTTGGCATTTGTTTCCTGTTTTGGCATTACTTTTTCTTTTTTTTTTTGGTCAGGTCGTAGGACTTGAACTCTGGGCTTGGGCACTGTCCTGTGCTCTTCAGCTCAAGGCAAGCGCTCTACCGAGTGAGCCACAGTGGTACTTCCGGTTTTCTAGTGGTTTATTGGAGATAGGAGTCTCACGGACTTTCCTACCCAGGCTGGCTTTGAACCCAGATCCTCAGATCTCAGCCTCCTGAGTAGCTAGGATGACAGGGCGTGAGCCAGCGGCACCCCAGCTTGGCATTACTTTTAAGTTTTAAGACGTTGGGCTGGGAAGTTGGCTCAGTGGTAGAGCGCTTGCCTTGCAAGCATTAGGCCCTGAGTTCGATTCCTCAGCACCACATAAGCAAAAAGAAAAAAAGCCGGAAATGGCACTGTGGCTCAAATGGTAGAGAGCGCTAGCCTTGAGCTGAAGAGCTGAGGGACAGCGCCCAGGCCCAGAGTTCAGGCCCCACGACCAGGGGGAAAAAAAAAAAAGAAAAAGTTTTAAGACGTTGAAGGCAAGAATGCTACCATTTGAGTCATGCTATATCTCAAATAGGGTATTGCTTTTTGTATGGGGCTAGCCTCCTAACATGATCCTCCTATGAAGCTGGAATCACAGGTATGAACCACCATACCCAGTTCCATTGAGGCAGAGGTCTTGCTAACTTTTCGTCTGGGCTGGCCTGGAACTGTGATTCTCCAGATCTCCAACAGCCAAGTAGCTGGGATTACAGGCATGAGTCACACAGCACTTGACCTAGTCTGTTTTATTGTCCTCATAGCACTTGTCAGTGTTTTGTTCCCTTTCTTGTCCTGTGTCCCACAGGGAGCTGGGAGATTCAATTCCCACTTAATTAGCTGCCTCTTGTGATAACAGGATTGGAGATTGGTATTGTTAAAAGAAAGAAAGACGGACTGGGAAGGTGGCTCAGTGGTAGAGTGCTTGACTTGCAAGCATGAGGCCCTGGGTTCGATTCCTCAGCATCACATAAACAGAAAAGGCCAGAAGTGGCGCTGTGACTCAAGTGCTAGAGCACTACTAGCCTTGAGCTGAAGAGCTGAGGGACAGCGCCCAGGCCCAGAGTTCAGGCCCCACGACCAGCAGAAAGACCAACAGCAGCTAATGTATGAACTGACTGGTGCCGTTCCTGGGGCTTGAACTCAGGGCCTGGACACTGTCCCTGAGCTTCTCTTGCTCAAGGCTCTACCACTTGAGCCCCCTGACTGAATCTTCATTAACAACTCTAAATAGAGCTGAACTCCAATTTAGTGGTGGAAAATCAAGCCCCAGCATCAGTAGACCTGGTCCCGCCTGTAATCCTAGCTACTCAGAGGCTGAGATCTGAGGATCACGGTTCAAAGCCAGCCTGGGCAAGAAAGTCCATGAGACTCTTATCTCCAGTGAACCACCAGAAAACTGAAAGTAATGCTGTGGCTCAAGTGGTTGAGCGCTCACCTTGAGCTGAAGAGCTGAGGGACAGCGCCTAAGCCAGAGTTCAAGCCCCATGACTGACCAAAAAAAAAATAGACCTGGTCCAAAATCAAGGAAACCTAGATTGAAATCTAGCTCATTGTAGCCACTCATCCATGTTGCGCCTTTGTGGATACTGAAAACCTACTAGGCATTAGGTGGCACTATATAAGCTAGACATGACTTCTGGAGGGACAATAATCCCTGGGCTCTGGTGGCTCATGCCTGTAATCTCTGCTCATCAGAGGCTGAAATCCAGAGAATCACAGTTTGAAGCCAGCTACGGCAAAAAAGAGAGAGAGAGAGAGACTCCCATCTCTAAATAACCGCTAAAAAATTACCAGTGAAAATCTAAAAAGGGGGGCTGGGAAGGTGGCTCAGTGGTAGAGTGCTCGCCTGGCATGCATGAGGCCCTGGGTTCGATTCCTTAGCACCACATAAACAGAAGAAAAACAGAAGTGATGCTGTGGCTCAAGTGGTAGAGTGCTAACCTTGAGCAAAAGAAGTTCAGGGGCAGTGCCCAGGTCTTGAGTTCAAGCCCCATGACTGGCAAAAACAAACAAAAAAAACCTCTAAAAAAGGCCTATAATTCTACTAATTCAGGAGGCCAAGATCTGAGGATCAGAGTTCAAAGCCAGCCCAGGCAGGAAAGTCCGTGAGACTCTTCTCTAATGAACCACCAGAACACTGGAAGGGGTGCTGTAGCTTAAGTGGTAGAGCGCTGGCCTTGAACATGGGAAGCTGGGCCGGCGCTCAGGCCCCAGTTCAGGCTCCAGGACCAGTAACAAAATAAAAATGAAAATGAAAAAAGTCTCCCTAGTAAACATGATGATGGGGGTGGGAAGGTGGCTCAGTGGTAGAGCGCTTGCCTCGCATGCCTGAGGCCCTGGGTTCCATTCCTCAGCACCACATAAGCAGAGAAAGCCGGAAGTAGCGCTGTGGCTCAAGTGGTAGAGCGCTCGCCTTGAGCTGAGTTGCTGAGGGACAGTGTCCAGGCCTAGAGTTCAGACCCCACGACCGGATCCCCCCCAAAAAAAACAAAAACGTAAATATGATGATGCCATATTCAATGGGGAAGGCAGAGATCTACCAGGAAATACACAGAGATTTTTTTGTTTTTGTCTTTACGGTTTTTGTTTTGTTTTCTTCTTTTTTGCCTGTCCTGGGGCTTGAACTCAGGGCTGGCTGCTGCCCCTGAGCCTCTCTGTGGCTGTGCTCTACTCCTTGAGCCACTGAACCACTTCTGGCTTTTTCTGAGTAGTTTATTGGAGATAAGAGTCTCATGGACTTTCCTGCCCCGGCTGGCTTTGAACCGAGATCCTCACATCTCAGCCTCCTGAGTAGTTAAGATTACAAGTGTGATCCACCGTCGCCTAATATATAGAGTATTTTTTTTTCTTTTTTCTGTCAGTCGTGGGGCTTGAACTCTGGGCCTGGGCGCTGTCCCTCAGCTCTTCAGCTCAAGGCAAGTGCTCTACCACTTGAGCCACAGCGCCACTTCCGGTTTTCTGGTGGTTCATTGGAGACAAAAGCCTCATGGACTTTTCCTGCCCCAGCTGGCTTTGAACGCTGATCCTCAGATCTCAGCCTCTTGAGTAGCCAGGATGACAGGCGTGAGCCACGGGCACCTGACTTCCCCAGATATTTTATTGATCTGAAGGGTTTGAACTTAAGGCTTTGGGTGCTTTCCCTGAACTTTCCTGCTTAAAGCTAGCACTCTGTAACAGTTCGAGCCAAGCTCCACTTCCAACTTTTCGGTGGTTAATTGGAGATGAATCTCATGGACTTTCCTGCCCGGGATGGCTTTGAACTATGACCCTCAGATCACAAACTCCTGAGTCGCTAAGATTACAGGCGTGAGCTGCCAGCGCCTAGGCTCTCCAGCTGTTTTTAAACCAGGTGGCTTTGGTTTTTTGTTTTTTTGGTTTTGGTTTTGGCCGGTTCTGGCTTGAACTCAGGGCCTGGGCACTGTCCCTAAGCTGCTTTTGCTCAAGGCTAGCACTCTACCACCTGAGCCACAGCATCATTTCCAGTTTTCTCTCTGTATGTGGTGCTGAGGAATCGAACCCAGGGCCTCAGGCATGCAAGGCCAGCGCTCTACCACTGAGCCACCTTCCCAGCCCCAACCAGGTGATTTCTTTGTTCTCCATTGAGTGGCTGGGAGTGAAATTATTTGTAATACTTTGTACCTGGCACCTGTTGCAGAGAGGAAGGCAGGTCGGCCTAGAGGTAAAGATAACTATTTATGGGGTTGGAAGCATGGCTCAATTGATGAGTGCTAGCCAGTGAGCTAAAGCATCAGGTAAGCCAGGCACAAGTGGCTCACACCTGTCATCCTCGCTCCTCATGAGGCTGAGATCTGAGGATTGCAGTTCAAAGCCAGCTCAGGCAGGAAAGTCTGTGAGACTCATCTCCAATGAACCACCAGGAAACCAGAAATGGTGCCGTGGCTCAAAGTGGTAGAGCACTAGCCTTAAGCAAAAAGAGCTCAGGGAACAGTGTACAGACCCTGAGTTCAAGAGTTCAAGCCCCACGACCAACAACAACAACAAAAAAGGATCAGGTTCAAGTCCTGGTCGAAGACCAAAAGAGAGAGAGAGAGAGTTATAAGCCAGGCACAGTGATTCACCTGTGGCTAATCTGGTACCGGCACACGAAAAAAGGAATAAACGAGGTTTATTTATGGCAGTGAATGATGCCCTAAATTAAGAGGGAGAAGAGAAAAGAAGCAGAATGAGAGGGAGTCTGGGGACAGTCAAGTTGAGTCAGTGGAGAAAAAGAGCATTCCAGTCTTTAGGGACAGCAGGAGCAGGGCCCTGGGTGGTAGATCAGGGAGGTAGTTGTGGAGCCAGTCATAGTAGTGTATGTCTGTAATCCCAGCTGTTAGGAAGCTGAGAGGGGAAGATCTTTGTTGTTGTTTTGTTTGTTTTTTGGTCAGTCATGGGACTGAACTCTGGGCCTGGGCTCTGTCCCTCAGCTCTTCAGCTCAAGGCCAGCATGCTACCACGTAAGCCACAGCACCACTTCTGGCTTTTTTCTGCTTATGTGGTGCTGAGGAATCGAACCCAGCGCTTCATGCATGCCAGGCAAGCGCTCTACCACTGAGCCACCTTCCCAGCCCGTGTTGTTGTTTTTTGTGAGTCCTGGGGCTTGAACTCAGGGTCTGGGTGCTGTCCCTGAGCTGCTTTTGCTCAAGGCTAGCACTCTACCACTTGAGCCATAGCGCTACTTCCAGCTTTTTCTGTGTATGTGGTAGTGAGGTACTTCATGCATGCTAGGCAAGTATTCTACCGCTGAGCCACATTCCCAGCCCCAGGGAAGATCTCGACTTCCAGTACAGCCTTGTCCTTCAAAGGCCTGTCTTTCTTTTTCTTTCTTTTTTTTGTTTTTTTGTTGGTGGTGGGGCTTGAACTCTGGGCCTGGGCTCTGTCCCTCAGCTCTTCAGCTCAAGGCGAGTACGCTACCACTTGCACCACAGCACCACTTCCAGTTTTCCGAGTGGTTTAAGAGTCTCACCTTGGGCTGGGAAGGTGGCTCAGTGGTAGGCTTGCCTTGCATGCCTGAGGCCCTGGGTTCGATTCCTCAGCACCACATAAGAAAAAAAAAAAAGAGTCTCACCTTTAGCCGGGCGCTGGTGGCTCACACCTGTAATCCTAGCTACTCAGGAGGCTGAGATCTGAGGATCGCGGTTCAAAGCCAGCCCGGGCAGGAGACACTGTGAGACTCCTATCTCCAATAAACCACCAGAAAACCGGAAGTGGCGCTGTAGCTCAAGTGGTAGAGCGCTCGCCTTGAGCTGAAGAGCTGAGTGACAGCGCCCAGGCCCAGAGTTCAAGCCCCCACGACCTACAAAAAAAAAAAAAAGTCTCACCTTTTGTGCCCAGGCTGGCTTTGAACAACGATCCTCAGATCTCAGCCTCCTGAGTATCTAGGATTGCAGGCATGAGCCACCTGCGCCTGGGAAAGCCCTGTCTTTAAAAAAAAAAAACGAAAAAAACTAGGCGCCGGTGGCTCATGCCTGTCATCCTAGCGGCTCAAGAGGCTGAGATTTGAGGATCGCAGTTCAAAGCCAACCCGGACAGGAAACATTGTGAAACTCTTCTCCATAAACCACTAGAAAACCCGAAGTGGCATTGTAGCTCAAGTGGTAGAGCATTCGCCTTGAACTGAGAGCTGAGGGACAGTGCCCAGGCCCAGAGTTCAAGCCCCACCAACAAAAATAAATTTAAAAAATAGGAATCAATGGAATGATAGAGGGAAAAGTAGATCTCAAGTCCTGAGTAAAGGAATTTGAACTTTAGTGTGTGTGTGTGTGTGTTTGCCTGCCTGTGTTTTGTTTTGTTTTTTTGTCGGTCGTGGGGCTTGAACTCTGGGCCTGGGCGCTGTCCCTCAGCTCAAGGCGAGCGCTCTACCACTTGAGCTACAGCGCCACTTCCGGTTTTCTGGTGGTTTATTGGAGATAGGAGTCTCACAGTCTCTTCTGCCCGGGCTGGCTTTGAACTGCGATCCTCAGATCTCAGCCTCCTGAGTAGCTAGGATTACAGGCGTGAGCCACCAGCGCCCGGCTCTGCCTGTGTGTTTGTTGTTTGGGTTTTTTTTTAACTGTATTTTTTTTGTCTTTTCTTTTTTGGTACTGGGGATCGAACCCAGGACGTTGCACTTGCTAGGCAAGCGCTTTGCCACTGAGCTACATCCCAGCCCCTGCCTGTGTGTTTGTATATACTGGGGGTCAAAACCAGGGTCTAGATCCTGTCCCTTAGCTTTTTTTTGGTGGTGGGGCTTGAACTCTGAGTCTGGCCACTGTCCCTCAGCTCTTCAGCTCCAGGCTAGCGCTCTACCACTTGAGCCACAGCACCACTTCCGGTTTTCTGGTGATTAATTGGAGATAAGAGTCTCATGGACTTTCCTGCTCGGGCTGGCTTTGAACTATGATCCTCAGATCTCAGCCTCCTGAGTAGCTAGGATTACAGGGATGAGCCACCGGCACCCAGCTGTCCCTTAGCTTTTTGTACTCAACAGTGGTGCTCTACCACTTGAGCCACAGCTCCATTTCTGATATTTTGGTGGTTCATTGGAGTTGAGAGTCTCACAGACTTTCATGCCCCATCTTGTTTTGAATCTGGATTTTCAGTTCTCAGCCTTCAGAGAAGCTAGAATTACAGGCATGAGCCACTGTGCTCAACCAGCTCCCGTGCCCCTGGGATCAGCAGGGAGATGCCCGCCGCGGCGTCCAGCACAGGGTCCTAGTAAGGCCTCACAGGTGCCTGTTGACCTGTTGCATTTTTTCCCATCTTATTTATTTAGGGCCAGTTCTAGGCTTGAATTCAGGGCCTAGGCATTGTCCCTGAACTTCTCTTGCTCAAGGCTAGCACTGTACCACTTGAGCCACAGCGCCACTCTTCCAGCTTTTTTTTTGTATGTGGTACTGAGGAATCGAACCCAGGGCTTCATGCATGCAGGGGAAGCGCTCTACCACCAAGCCACCTTCCCAGCCTCTTCCTATCTTATCTACACAGAAATTAATGGCCACGATCTCTGTGGATGGCACCTGGGGTCCGCTAGGCCGTGTCTTTGTAAGACCTTGGGCTGTGTGGTGTGCTGGCGGCTCCTGCCTGTAATCCTATCCTCTCAGGAGGTGGAGATCCAAGACTGCAATTGCAATTCAGAGCCAGCCGGCACAGCTGAGTGGGTGAGACACTTTTTATCTCCAATGAGCCACCAAAAAGCCGGAAGTGGAGCTGTGGCTCAAGCAGTAGAGCATCCCCCTTGAGCAAAGAAGCTCGGGGACAGGGCCCAGGCCATGAGTTCAAGCCTCAGGACTAGGCCTCCTTCCCCCCAGGACTCCCCCAAACCCTTGGGGTGCTTGGGCCAGCTGCTAACCCAGAAGTGAGGCCTCACCCCCCCCCCCCCTCTACTTCCTCCCCAGGGGCCTGCGAAGCCTCCCTGGCGTGTTCCACCTGCCACGTGTACGTGAGCGCGGCCCACCTGGACCTTCTGCCTCCCCCCGAGGAGAGGTGAGCCGGGAGGGTGGGGGGGGGGGGTCCCCCAGCCGCGGGTCCCCGCGCTGACCGCTGACCCCCCCCAGGGAGGACGACATGCTGGACATGGCGCCCCTGCTCCAGGAGAACTCCCGCCTGGGCTGCCAGATCGTGCTGACCCGCGAGCTGGACGGGGCGGAGTTCACGCTGCCCAGGATCACCCGCAACTTCTACGTGGACGGCCACGTGCCCAAACCCCACTGACGTGGCGGGGGGGGGGGGGGGGTGCGAGCCACGGATCGGCCCCGCCACGGGACCTGCGGGGAGAGAGCGGGCGGCCGCGCGGGGCCCGGCCCGGGCTCGGACGGGGGCGGAGGGGACGCGGCCCGGCCCCCCAGCGGGCCCCCGGCTCCGGCCCACCCCCACAGCCCCGGCCCCCCCCCACAGCTCCGGCCCACCCCCCGCCCAGGTCCCCCCCGCCCCGGCCCCCCCCCCCGCCCCGGCCCCCGGCCCAGCCCCCCCCCCCGGCCCCGGCCCCCCCCCCCCCGCCCTGACGCCCCCCGGCCCCCCCCCCCGCCCTGACGCCCCCCGGCCCCGGCCCCCCCCCCGCCCTGACGCCCCCCGCCCTGACCCCCCGCCCCAGCCCCCCCCCGCCCCCGGCCCCCCCGCCCCAGCCCCCCCCCCCGCCACCGGCCCCCCCCCCCGCCCTGACCCCCCCCAGCCTCTGCCAGCAGGGGCGTGCGCCAAGCTTGGGCTCAAATTGAGCCGCAATAAAAACTGTCGCGGATCCCGGCTTGTGAGTGTCCTTGGGGTGCTGGGGTGCTGAGCTCGGTGCCCCCCGCGGCCCGCCCCGCCCAGGTGGCGCCCATCGCCCCGCGCCGCGGCGCCCCGCGCCAGCTGCGGCCCATCGCCGCCCTCGGCGCCCTCGGGAGCGGCCGGGCGGGCGGGGCGGGCGGGGGCCATGGAGGCCGCGGCCGACCCCCGCTTGCTGCTGCTGCCGCTGCTGAGGGAGCTGCTGGCGCCGCCCTGTCTGGACCCCGAGTCGCCCCCGGGACCCCCGGCGCCGCCCGAGCCGCGACCCCTGCGATGCAGGTACGGGAGGGGGAGGCGGCCCGGGCCGGACCCGCGTGGGGCGCCCGGGGGCGGGGCGGGGCGCCACGCGCTGCCATGGCGGCGGCGCGGCCCACGCGGGGGTCACGAGGGCGGGGTGCACGCCGGGGGGCGGCGGCTCGGGCGCCGGTTCCGATCCCGCCGCCGCCGGCCGCCTAGAAATGATCGGAAGGAAGAGCTGCACCATCCGGCAGGCCGAAGATGGCCGGGGCCCCGGCGGGCCCGGGGGGGGCGGGGGGCCCGGGCCTGGCCGGTGCCAGCAGGTGGGTGACTGCTGCCCCCGCTCGCGCGCAGCGCGCAGCCCCGGCCCGACCGATAACCCCGACGCCCCCTGTCCCCCGCCCCACCCCAGGTCCCTCTGGCCTGCCTGCCAGGCCTCGCTCCTGCGCCTCCTCCGAAAGGCAGAAGAGGAGCTGGCTCGGCCCCCCATCGCCAGCGCCCAGGCCCCGGGCCCCTGCCGGGAGCCGATGGCCCTGGGGTCCCTGGGGCCCCTGGCCATGGCCCAGGGCTCCAAGAACATGCGGAGAGCAGCCAGCCCCAAGCGCCGCCTCCCTGAGCACCCCCAGGCGCCATCGCGGAGAAGACCCCGGAAGCAGCCGCACCCTCGCCAGGGCAGCCAGAAAGGCGATCTCGAGTTCAAAGGGGTGACTCTGAAGTTCCAGATGAACCCCGACTGCAGCTTCCGGATCTCACCTACCTACAGGTAGGACCAGGCCGAGAACGGCCCCCCTTTCCCAGTCACCCCTTAATAACCACAGGAGCCGCGCGCAGGTGGCTCCTGCCTGTCATCCTAGCTACTCAGGAGGCTGAGATCTGAGGATCGCGGTTCAAAGCCAGCCCGGGCAGGAAAGTCCGTGAGACTCTGATCTCCAATAAACCATCTGAAAACCGGAAGTGGTGCTGTGGCTCAAGTGATAGAGCGCTCGCCTTGAGTGAAGAGCTGAGGGGAGCGGGGCTCAGGATTCCCAGAGACACTCACATCCAGCAAGGTTCAAGTCTTCTAAACAAAATGGCTGCCAGGCACCGGTGACTCACAGCTATAATCCAGGCTGCCTAGGAGGCTGAGATCTGAGGATTGAGGTTCAAAGCCAGCCTGGGCAAGAAAGACCTTCAGAGTCTTATCTCCGATTAACCACCCCAAAAAAAGCCGGAAACCGAGCTGCGGCTCAAGTGATAGAGCCCACCCTTGAGCAAAAACTCCAAGCAAGAGCAGGAGGAGAATCAAGCCCTGAGTTCAATCCCCAATTCTAGCATGCGCGTGCACGCACACACACAGGATCAAATGGCATAGTGTTTGCCAAAAAGCCCTCTAGACTTCATGTATTTTTGTTTTTGTTTTTTTGCCAGTCCTGGGGCTTGAACTCGGAGCCTGGGCGCTGTCCCTGAGCTTCTTTGGCTCAAGGTTAGCGCTCTACCACTTGAGCCACAGTGCCCTTTCTGGCTTTTTTCTGTATATGGGGCACTGAGGGATCGAACCCTGGGCTTCGTACATGCAGAGCAAGGTACTCTACCACTAAGTCATATTTCCCAGCCCCCTAGACTTTATGTTTGGAGACAGGAGTTCACTGTGTAGGCCAGGCTGGCTTGAAACGAACTCTCCCTCCTCCTGTCCTAGCTTCTTAAGTGCTGAGATTATAGGCATGCTCCACTGTGCCCAGCCTTCTCATAGACTTTATTTTTTATTTTATTTTTTGTCAGTCATAGGGCTTGAACTCAGGGGCCTGGGCACTGTCCCTGAGCACCTTTTTGCTCAAGGATAGCTCTGTCACTTTGAGCCACAGCACCACTTCTGGTTTTCTGGTAGTTAATTGGAGAGAAGAGTTTTGAACCGTGATCCTCAGATCTCAGCCTCCTGAGTAGCTAGGATTATAGAAGTAGCCACTGATGCCCAAAGTCTCCTCTTCCCTCCCTCTCCCAGTTTTTCCCTCCTGTCCCCACAAACAAGTTGTTCATTTTCCACATAGTGTTTACCAAATACTGCATTTGTTCTGCACTACTGCATGTGTTCACCCTTTGTCCCCTCCATTTCTCTGTCCCCCTCCTAAACACAGATAAATGAACAAACAAGACAGAAAGAAAACAAAACAAAAACAGCAACAAAGAAAATAAAAAACCTTGCCTGGGAAGGTGGCTTAGAGGTAGAGTGCTTGCCTAGCATGCATGAAGCCCAGGTTCAATTCCTCAGTACTCCATAAACGGGAAAAGCCAGAAGTGGTGCTGTGGCTCAAGTGGTAGAGCACTAGCCTTGAGCCAGAGAAGCTCAGGGACAGTGCCCAGGCCCTGAGTTCAAGCCCCAGGACTGGCAAAAACAAACCTCTTGCTTTCATTTCCTTTTATTTTTTAGTTTTGCCAGGTGTGCAGATTGAACTCGGGGCTTGGTGCTGCCCCTGAGCTGCTCTGTGCTCACGGCTCTCCACCACTCCAGCCATGCCACTACTTCCATCTTTTTCTGAGTAGTGTATTAGAGATAAAAGTCTCAGGAACATTTCTGCCTGGCTGGCTTCCAGCCTTGATCCTCAGATCTCAGCCTCCTGAGTAGCTAGCTGACAGGCGTGAGCCACTGGCGTCCCGCTTCAATATTATTTTGGATGATCAGGTGTCCATAGGCGTTGCGCCTTTGTGTTTCTCTCCTACGAATATCCTCCTTTGGTCTCACTGTGTGTGATTGCCTAAAATTCTATATATTTTATCATGTCGAGGTGTATTTTAGATCTAGCTTCTGCATATGAGAGAAAACATGCACCATTTTTCTCTCTGAGCTTGGATTACCTCACATAACACAATTTCTTCCACGTCCCTCCTTTTCCCTGCAGGTGACATCATGTTATTCTTCCTAGTGTCTGTGTAAAATCCCATTGTGTATACACATACCACATTTTTTGGGGTCCACTCATCTGTTCTAAGGCATCTGGGTTGTTCCCACAACTTGGCTCTTGTGAATAGTGCAGCAGTGAACATGGGTGTGCAAGTGTCTTCATGGTATCCTGGCTTGTGATGTTCAGGGTAGATGCCCAGGAGTGGTACGGCTGGGTTGTAGGGAAGGTCTATGCTTTGTTTTTTGAGGAACCTACACTGGGGCCTAACAGGCCATGGGGCCCAGTGAAGCCTCTGAACCCCATTTTACACAGGAGGAACCCAAAGCACAGAGCGGGAGGTGGCGGGGCCAGGGTCACACTGCAGAGATGTGAAACAGATTTGAGCTTTAAATAATACTTGTGTTTGTTCGGCTAAGCCAAGGCCTTGCCAGGTAGCCCAGGTTAGCCTCAAATTGTTTTTCCTCCTCTTCCTCTTTTTGAGGGTTGGGATTACAGGTGTGTGCTACCATGCTTGTATCAATACTACTGGACTAGCAGAGCACAAAGCCAGACTTCTCGGGCCTCGGATAACTCTTCTGGAGTGCCTGGATAACTATCTTCACTTTCAGGGGAGTAAGATGTGGGTCCCCCTCCCCCCCATACTAAGGTTTTGTCTCTCCTGCAGCCTGGCCGGTACCAGCCTCGCTCAGAAACCCTTTCCCAACCCAGCCAGGGTCCCCGAGCCCAACCATGGTGGCAATGAGATCTTGGGTGAGTCCTAAAGTGTGAGAGCTATAAATATTGTGGGGGGGGACGACTTTCCCAGCTTCCATGTCTTTCTCCCTCCCCCCTTCTCCATGATGCTTCCTCATTTAGCCCAAACAGCACGTTCCAGCCCCCCTCCCGGGCTGAGTCACCCCACCCCCGGCTTCCTCCCTGCACAGCTCTGCCATCTGTCTCCCTTCCTGGCGCTCCCCACTTTCAATGTGACAACACCCAAGGCTGGCCCAGAGCTACCCAGCCCTTCACAGGAGACACCCCAAAAATTACCCTAACCCCGCTTGAGCCTCTTAATGCTCACTCTGACCTCTGACCCCTGATCCTGCAGAACCCCGGCGCTGTGCTTCGTGCAGAACCCAGAGGACCCCGCTGTGGAGAGATGCGGAGGACGGGACCCCCGCTCTGCAACGCCTGTGGAATCAGGTCTCCCAGCCGGACATGGGGGCGGGGACCCCACATGGAATCTGCTTACCCAGGGCCAGGGGAGGGAGCAAAAACCAGCCAAAAACGGTCTCTGGGAGGCGGCTTTGCGGCATCCCTAGTGGTGGTTTCAGCCAGGCGCCGTGGCTCACGCCTGTCATCCCAGCTACCCAGGAGGCTGGGAACTGGGATCAAGATTCAAAGCCGGCCTGGGCAGGAAAGTCCCCTGAGACCCTCATCTCCAGTGGACCAGCAAAAAGCTGGAAGGGGAGCTGTGGCTCAAGTGGTAGAGTGCCAGCCTTGAGAGAAAAAACTCTGGGACAGCGCTCAAGCCCTGAGCTCACGCCCTGAGTTCAAGCGCACGCACACACTCACTCATTGAACGGTGGTTTCTTTTCTCCCCCAACCCCCCAGATACAAGAAATATGGTACCCGTTGTTCCAGTTGCTGGCTGGTGCCCAGGAAAAGTGTCCAGGCCAAGCGTCTGTGTGGCAGGTGTGGGGTGTCCGTGGGATCCCATCCAGGCCCCACGCAGGAAACCTAAGTGTTTGTTCCCCCAGCTGAGTAGGTCCTGCCTCAGTTTCTCCAGGAGAAGAGAGGGCAGACCTCCTCAGAAGCCCGCGTGCTCTCAGCTACTTCCCACTCAAGTTCCCAAGTTGGAGAGCCAGGCCTCGGGGGGGCTGCAGGACCCCAGGCTCCTCCCTTCTCAGTCCAGCCCTGCTGGGCGCCAAATAAAGGAAATGCCAGAGCAGAGGTGGTTCACTGTCATCATTAACACAACCACCACAGTGCAGCCCCACACAGACAGCTCAGTGGACGTGTCAAAGGACGTCCCCTGGTGTCAGGAAGAAGACAAACATCCCAGCCCTCCAGAGGCTCAGACAGGAGGATGAAATTTGGAGGCTCGGTCTGGGCTACCTAGGGAGATCCTGCGTCACCCCCGGTGCCGCCCACCTGCAGTCCCAGCCACTCAGGAGGCTGAGCTCTGAAGGCCAAGGTTTTGAAGGCAGCCTAGGCAGACTACACTTGAGATTCTTATCTCCAGTGAGCAAAAAGCCAGAAATGGAGGCATGGCTCAAGTGGTAGAGGAGCTGCTTGGCCATCACATTGCCCGGAGTTCAAGTCCCAGGATTGCCAAAAACGGTGTAAGGTGTGTCAGAGGAAGCCATGTTCTCCCTTTGTGGGGGGCCCAGGGCCGTGTGACCTTCCTGTCACTCCTGGGTGCTCCTGTGGGGAAGCTCTGAGACCACTTGCCATGTGGGGAGATGGCCCCAGTGTCACCTCCATAGGAAAGGCCTTCGCTCACCGGGCACCGGGGCTCACGCCTGTCATCAGAGCTGCTCAGGAAGCCTCGCTGACTTTCCTGCCAGGGCTGGCTTTGAACCTCAGATCTCAACCTCCTCACTAGCTGGGATGACAGGAATGAGCCACCAGTGCCCAGCTGAGTACAGAGATTTTGAGGAGAGGACTCCTCAGTGTAAAGGTGAATGCAAAGGCCCTGGAGTGGGCTGGGTTTGGGCTTGCGGAAGCCTAGAGGGAGGCGGTAGCGGTGGAGTAAGATGTGTGTGTGTGGGGGGGGGGGGGGGGGGACATATCATTTGTTTTTGTGTCTTCGTCCTTGGCACCCAGCACCATTTTGCCATCCTCGGATAGCAGCCAGCGAGGGGGGGCGGGGCTGCCCGGGGCCCACTTCCTGCTGCAGGAACCAGTGTTCCTGCTTTTCAGGGAGCAGGGGGCGGGGCCCAGCTGCTCTCTCCTTCTGCTGTGGGGGGTGAGGGAGATGTGCCCCCTGGGGGCTGCTGCTCATCCCTTGTTTGTCTGCTTTTAATCATGAAGGGCCCAGCCACACTGGGCTTGGGGGTAAACTGAGGCACTGGGGTGGACACAGGCCTTGAGGGTGGGCGAGGGGGAAGCCCTTTTTTTTTTTCCTTGCAGGTCCTGAGGCTTGGAGGCCTGGGCACTGTCCTTGAGTCTTTGAACTCAAGGCAGGTGCTCTACCTTTTGAGCCACAGCTCCTCTTCTGGCTTTTTGGTGATTTGCTGGAGATAAAGGGTCTCACTGACTTTCCAGCCTGGGCTGGCTTCAAACTGTCATCCTTAGATCTCAGCTCCTGATGAAGTAGGATTACAGGCGTGAGCCACTGGACGTGGCAGGAGGGACGTGGCTTAGTCATTCCTGTCTGGGGGGGGGGGGGTAGGGAGGAGCCTGGGGGTTTGTCCATCCTGATGCTGCTCATTATCTTGGCGAGGTGACCGTGCCCTGCCAGTAACCTGGGAAGCACGTTAGCTGCCACCTCCAGGAAATCGGAGTCAGAGGGCAGTGCTGGGCAGGGAGGAGGAAGGCTAGAGTCCCCACCTCTCCCCAAGGGGCTACTGATTGCAGGAAATGGGGCACAAACTGGACAGGATGCAGGTCACACGACCCCCAGATGGCTCACAACACGCCCCATGCATAATAGGCCTCCAAAACAAACAGTGGAACCTTTTTTGTTGTTGTTGTTTGTGGAAGTACTGGAGCTTGAACTCAGGGCCTAGGTGCTGACCTTTAGCTTGTTTTTTTGCTCATGGCTGGTGCTCTACCACTTGAGCCACACCTCTGCTTCCAGCTTTGTATTGGAGATAAGAGTCTCAAAGCCAGCCCAGGAAGGAAAGTCCATGGGACTCATGGCCAGTGAACCACCAGAAAACCAGAAGTGGTACTGTGGCTGAGTGGTAGAGCACTAGCCTTGGGCAGAAGAGCTCAGGGACAGCCGGGCACTGGTGGCTCACACCTGTCATCCTAGCTACTCCGGAGGCTGAGATCTGAGGATCCTGGTTCAAAGCCAGCCTGGGGAAGAAAGTCTGTGAGACTCATCTCCTATGAACCACTCAAAACCGGAAGTGGTGCTGTGGCTCTAATGGTAGAGCGCTCACTTTGATCTGAAGAGCTGAGGGACAGCGCCCAGGCCCAGACTTCCAGCCAGCCCTACGACAGACAGAAGAAAAAATAAAAGGGCAGACTTTCTTACCTGGGTTGGCTTCGAACCTCCGTCCTCAGATCTCAGCCTCCTGAGTGGCTAGGCTCACAGGCCTAGCCCCTGGCACCCAGCTGTTCTTTGTTCACTCTGAATTGACCTCAGGATTCCACCTCGTGGCAGAGAGAAGCAGAGATGGCCTCCAGACAATCCTTTATAAAAACTTTATTGGGGGATGGGTAGAAAATGGGGTGGTGAGGCCCCTGAAGTTGAATAAATACCACAATAAATAAGCCCCCCCCATCGTGTGCGTCTGGGGAGGGGGCGGCCCCCGGCCCGCGGGGAGAGGGGTGCAGGCTCAGGCCGACGTCAGCTGGATGGAGAAGACCTCCCCTCCCTCGGGGGACTCGGCCGCGCCCCCCCTGCTCGGCGCCCCCGTCCGCGCCTGCGCCCCCGGCACCTGCGCCTGCGCCATTGAGACACACGGCCTCGCCCGAGCTCTCGGCCTCCTGCACGTTGTATTCGCCTTTCTTGCAGGCCGTGGACTGCACGTAGAAGGCCAGGCCGGCCCCCGCCGCCAGCAGCACCGCGCCCCCCGGCCGCGCCCCCCACAGCGATCCACAGCCAGGGACCTGGGGGACGGGGAGTGGGGGGGACACCCTCACCGATCGGGGCTCCCCCCCCACCCGCCACTCTGAGCCACCCCATGCCGCGAGCTCGAGGGCAGGCCTCGTGCACCTGCCATGGGAATATAAGGTGTTGTTATTGGTGGTGTGTGTGTAGCCAGCTCCATTGGTGTCCTACCACTCGAGACAATGCCTCCAGCTTGACATTTTGCTGCTTAATTAGAAATAAGGGTTTCTCGGGCCTTCCTGCTCGGGCTGGCTTTGAACTGTGATCCTCAGATCTCAGCCTCCGGAGTAGCTAGGATGACAGGCCGCGCGCCTGGCTGGGTCTCAACGTTGAGTGCGTGCAGGAGGCCCCGCCCTCACGTAGGCTCCACCCCGCGGAGGCCCCGCCCCTCTCCCTGGCCACGCCCCCACTTACCGGCCACGCGCACCGTGATGCGCCGCGCGTGGCGCCCGTGCGCGTTGGTGGCTGCGCACTCGTACTCGCCGCCGTGGCTGCCCAGGGCGCCGGCCACGCTCAGGGTGCTGTTGTTGCTCGACAGGCCGAGGTTGAGCGCCCCCGGGGGCGCGCGCCAGCTGATCTGGGCGGGAGGCCAGGCCTCGGCGCGGCAAGTCAGGGTGAAGTTCCCGCCGGGTCGCACGCTCGGGGGAGAGGCGGCCAGCTCGGCCACCACCGGCCGGTCTGCGGGGGGACGAACGGCGGGGGTGGGGTGATCAAACGTGCCCAGGTCCGTCCTACGCAATCCAAGGCCACCCTCCGGTGATGGGGAGGCGGAACTGGGGTCTCCCATCGCAGCCCCTCCCCCGCCGTCGGATAAAAGGTGGTTTGTTTGTTCTTCTGTCGGTCGTGGGGCCTGAACTCTGGGCCTGGGCGCTGTCCCTCAGCAATTCAGCTCAAGGCTAGCGCTCTACCACTTGAGCCACAGCGCCACTTCCGGCTTTTTCTGCTTATGGGGTGCTGAGGAATTGAACCCAGGGTCTCAGGCATGCAAGGCAGGCACTCTACCACTGAGCTGCCTTCCCAGCCCCTTATTGATTGATGGATTGATTAGTGCCAGTCCTGGGGCTTGAACTCAGGGCCTAGGCACTGTCCCCGAGGCTCTTTGTGCTCAAGGTGAGCGCTCTACCCCTTGAGCCACAGCACCACTTCAGGTTTTCTTGTGGTTCATGGGAGATAAGAGCCTCAGGGAATCTCCTGCCCGGGCTGGCTTTGAACTGGGATCCTCAGCCCTCAGCCTCCTGAGAAGCTAGGATGACAGGCGTGAGCCACCCGGCCTGGGCTAAGCATTTTTCTTTTTCTTTCCCTTCTGTGGCGGGTTTGGAGCTGGAGCTCAGAGCCTGGGCTCGGTCCCTGCACTTTTTCACTCAAGGCTGGTGCTCTACCACTTGAGCCACAACTCCACTGGGGGGGGGCTCACTCACATTCCACGCCCACGGTGACGGTCCTGGAGTCCGTGCCGTGGGCGTTGGTGGCCACACAGCGATAGGTGCCCGCGTCCTGGCGGGACACGCGCCGCCGCTCGGGCCGCGCCGCGCCGTCCCTGGCGCAGCGCACGCGTGGGGCGGGGCGGCCCCGGGCGGCGCAGGCCAGCGCCGCCGCCTCCGTCCCTTCCAGCCACGTCTGGTGACTTGGACAGCTGGACTCATCCATCTGAGGCGGTGCTGCGGTGAAGCCACGGGGTGGGAGGGCGGGAGGGAGGAGGCGTCAGAGAGAGGCCTGGGTGTTGGGGTGGGGGGAAGCGGGGGTCCCCCCCCTGCCTCCCGCGCCCATCTGGGCCCCGCTCACACTCCGCGCTCACGACGACGGTTTTGATGGCCGAGCCGTGCCGGTTGGTGGCGTTGCAGAGGTAGACGCCGGGCGGCGGGTCGCTGGGGCTCCCGGGGTTCCGGGGACCCGGGTTGGAGGAGGCCAGCGGCAGCGCCACCCCGTCCCTGGCACCCTCGGGTCCCACGCACTCCACGCTTGGCTCCGGCTTCCCGTCCACCTCACAGGAAAACAGCTTTCCAGATCCTTCCACCCAGGTCCAGTTGCTGGGGCAGCTCAGCTCCTCAAAACGAGGGCCATCTGGGGACCAAGGAAGGCAGAGGCCGGCTCAGGGGACCGGCAGGGAGCCCCGGGCGGCCGGGATGGGTCCCCGCGGGCCCCGCACCGCGATGCTCACACTCCACGGTGACAACCACGTTCTTGGCTGCTGCGCCTCTGGCGTTGGTGGCCTGGCAGCGGTACGTGCCCGCGTGCTCCCGGGCGACCCGCAGGGGCCCCTCGACCCTGGCCACCTCCCCGGAGCGCACGCAGCTCACGTGGGGCGGCGGGACCCCCTGGGCCACACAGCTCAGCAACGCTTCTGTTCCTTCCAGCCACGTAAGACGTTCGGGGCAACCCACACTGTCCAGCGCCGGTGCGTCTAGAAGAGGGCCGTATATATCTTTGGGGTTTCTAAGAGACTGATTTTTGGCAGGGGGGAGAAGAGGGGAGGAGGCTGGTCTTGGGGCTTGAACTCAGGGCCTGGGCACTGCCCCCCTCCCCCCACACTGCCTCTTTGTGCTCAAGGCTAGTGCTGTACCACTTCAGTCTCAGCTCCATTTCTGACTTTTGTGGGTAGTTAATTGGAGAGAAGAGTCATACAGAACTTTCCTGTCTAGGCTGGCTTTGAACTGTGATCCTCAGATCTCAGACTCCTGAGGAGCTAGGATTTAAAAGGTGTGAGTCACCTGCGCCTGGCCTGGCTGAGATCCATCTTTGGTCGCTATGTAATCTTTTGCTGCATCCCAAGGCCAAGAGGAAAGGTCTAGTCCATGGTTGGGCAGTAAGGGGGAGGAGTCGCTTTTTCTTCAGATGGACCATTGGTCCCTCCTCCCAGTCTTCAGCCCAGCTTTGGCAGACTCCGCCCACCACCACGCCCCAATCTATGGACACCCTTCCCCCTTCCCTTCATCCTTTCTCAAAATGTTGCCCAAATCTTGTTGCTCAGCAGCCTCTTCCCATCCCCAAAATGCTGCCCAAAGGCTGGGCATGGTAGTACACCTCTGTAATCCCAACTACTTGAAAGGTGGAGATTCAGAGGATTAAAGTCCCAGGCCAGCCAGCATAAAAAGTTAGCCAGATCCCCAAGAAACCAAGAAAGGGGGGGGGCGGGGTAAGGACAGGGGATGGACGAAGAGCGAGACATCGTAACTAAAGCCAAAAAGAGGTTAGACTTCCGGCCTACCAAGCATTAAATTCAAACTCGTATACTTAGCTGGGCACCAGTGGCTCATGGCTGTAATCCCAGCTACTCAGGAGGCTGAGATCTAGGATCAAAGTTCAAAAGCAGGAAAGTCCATGAGACTCTTATCTCCAATTTTAACCACCAAAAAGCCGGAAGTGGAGTAGTGGCTCAAGTGGTACAGCACCAGGCTTGAATGAAAAAGCTCAGAGACGGCATTCACGCACGCCCTGAGTTCTCAGCACACACACAGACACACACACTACTGCCCCACAAAAGACTCTGACTCTTTAAAGACACAGAGAACCAGAGGAGGTGCACCCCGGGTCCCTACTCACACTCCACGGTCAGCGTCACGTCCTTGACCGCCTGGCCCTGCGCATTGGCCGCCGTGCAGCGGTAGGTGCCGGCGAGCGCGCGGGTGACCGGCCCGGGCAGGCCCAGCGCCAGCACCGCCCCGCCGTCGGGGCGCGCGCAGTGCACGGAGGGCGCGGGGTTCCCGCGGGCCTCGCAGCGCAGCGTCTGCTCGGGGCCCTCGGGCCACGTCCAGCTCCTGGGACAGCCGGAGTCGTCCAGCCGGGGAGCATCTGCGGGCGGGGACATGGGGCACAGGTGGCTCTTTTGCAACGATCCCCTCGTCCACGACGGGGTCAGGACCCGGCCCCCGCTCCCCCCGCCCCGGGCAGGTCCTCGGAGTCGCCCGCGATGGCGGGGCGAGGGGTTGGCACCCACTTACACAGGACGCGAAGCTCGGCGCTCTCGTTTTTGCTCAGCGTCTCCCCGTCCACCTCGAGGGCGGCATCACAGAAGAAGTCACGTTTGTCGTCGTCTTCGGTGACGTTGATTTGCAGCTGGACCGGCTGTCCCGGGACAGCCGCTGGAATTCCCTCCAGCGTGACCCGCGCCTGAGCCCCGCCAGTGCAAGTCACGGTGACCAAATGCCCCTCGGGCGCGTTAGGGTCGCTCAACGCCAGGCGGGGCGCTGGGAAGCCTGCGGGCGGGCATTGGCTGGGAGCCTGCGCGGATAGGCTCCGCCCACCCGTTAAGCCCCGCCTGTTGCACGCCAGAACCTTCCCATTGGCTGCAGGCAAACCGAGGCCCCGCCTCAGGGCTCCGCCCACTCCTCGCCACGCCCCTTCGTTCCTCTAGCTCCACCCCCCCAGCGGCCTCAATGGCTCTTACTATAGACAGTCACGTTTTCCCAGGTCTCGCGGCTCTCGCCCCCCAAAGTCACGTTGCACACTAGCTGCCTAGTGCCCTCGTGTTCGTGGCCGGCGGTGGCGGTGGCGGTGGCCCTCAGGGCGTCGCCCTGGAGGGTGACATCAGGACTGAGCCTCTGGTCTCCCAGCGCGAGGTAAACCTCAGCCTCTGAGGCTGGAAACAGCCCGTCCAGGCTGCAGCTCACAGGCCTCTCGGAGCCGACTTCTAAGAGCCGGGGAGCGGTGAGGTGCGGGGGGTCAAGCGGCAGAGCTGGGGAGGGTGGAGCGGGGAGGGCAGAGGGTGAGCTTCAGAGCTGCGCAGGGACGCGAGACGGACAGGCCGTGCCGAGCGGCCTCGCCCACCGCCCGCCCCGCGCGGGAGGGCTCTCCACCGACCCACCGAAAGTTCGGAGCTCTCTAGGGGCTGAGCTGTTTGCGAACAATCCCAGGCCGTGCGGCCGCAGATCCAGCTCGGCACGGCAGGAGAAATTCGCGCCATGATCCTCCCTCCGCGCCAGGACGGTGGCGGTGAGCACCGCGCCCCGCGCTCGGGGCGGCTCTCCGGAGAAACGACGGCGGATCAGCTCCTGGGTGCCCCGCAGCAGAGACAGCGTGAGGCTTCCCCGGGGTCCGGCGCCGGGGACCCTACAGCTCAGGGTGAAGTTCTCCCCCACGGGCTGCCAGGCAGGCAGCGGAACCAGCTCCACGCGATCGGGTCGCTCTGTAATCGGGGGTGGGGGGGAGGAGGGAAACGCTGGGATTTGGGGAGACGAGGTGGGGTGGGAAGGTGCTGGGGAGGGGGGCCTGGGGCCTCCGAGGGGGCGGAGCCTCCGGGGAGGGAGGAGCTCGCGTCGTCTCCTCGCCCCGCCCCGCCCCGAGGGTGGGGCCTGGAAGGGGAGGAAGCGTAGTGGAGTCGCCTCGTGACCACCCGGAAACTCACGGAAAGTGCGAATGAGCCCACGCGCCTGGAGCGTGCGGCGCGCGCAGCGGAAGAAGCAGACGGGCTGGCTCTCCGGCTCGCGGATGTCCACGAGCTGCCGCGCCAGCCAGCGCAGCCCCCTCTGGGTGCCGTTCCGACGCAGCGAGGTCTCCAGGCCGCCGCGCTCCGGCCGCGGGCAGTTGGTGCTACAGTTCAGCCACAGCGAACCCCCGCGCTCCACCAGCGCCACGCGCGGCTGCAAGTCCGCCCAGAAGGGCTCCTGTGCGACCGCTGCTGCCCCGGGGCGAGGGGGGGGGGACGCGGGCTCAGCCAACTCCCCAAGATCTTAGCCATCACCACACACACACACACACACCAAGCCAAATGGGGGGGGGGGCTTCCCAGAAAGGACGGATCCAAAAGACTCCAAGGAAGGGGTGGGGGGAAAAAAACATAAGGGAGGGGAAGTGGGGAGAGGAAAGATGGGGTCTTCGAGGCTCGTTGGGAGATAGGCGATTCCCGGTGGGGGGGATGGGACGCAGAGGGATTCTTAAGATCCTGGCACATCGCCAGGAGAAGCGGGGGGGGAGAGAGATCGGGGTGAAAGCAAAGGAGATGGGTTTGGGTCAAGGACGAAGGAGGACCCCCCCCCCCAGCCTAGGTAGAGAGCGTGGAAAGCAGCCTCGGAGCCCCGGGACCCAGCCGCCAAGCCTCCAAGGCGGAGCGTTTCAAACATGCTTCTGTTCTGAACCCTGAGAGTTGAGATGGGGTCTCTCTGCCGATCGCGAGTAAGGGAAATGCCAGTCGGCGCACCGAGGTGCAGCCCCGAGCGGGAGGGGCGGGGACAGGGGAGCCTCGCGGCCCTCGGGGCGCGGGACCGGGGTGCTGGAGAGCGCCCTGCATGTCGAAGCGGGTTAGAGGGGAGCGATCTGGGGCGAGCAGGGAGTCCGAAGGCTGGCTCTCGGGGTGTGTTGTGTATGTGTGTGGGGGGTGGGGGGGGACAGGGGTAAAGACCTGGCTCAAGGTGGGGGCCGAAGCGTGGGAGCACGGAGAGGGCGGAGCCGGGAGGGGCCGGGGGCCGCCCCTCGGGTCCGGCAACTCCGCCCCCGCCCGGTCCACCCGGGCCCCGGCGGCGGCGGGCTCTCCTTACCTGAGAGGCCGAGGATCCCCAGGCCCAAGGCAACCCAGAGGCCGAGTAGCGCTCGGCGCAGCCCTGGCGAAGGCCCTGGCATCGCCGCCGCCGTGGGGGGAGCGCAGAGGCGAGGGAGCGCGAGCGACGAGCCGGGCTGGCGGACGGCGCGGCGCGGCGCGGCGGGTGGAGTGTGGGGGAGGCCGAGTTGCGCTCGGGGATTGGTTTAAACGTTGGTAACTTGGTTTCCAAGGAGGGGGCGGCGGCAGAGGCGGCGGGGAGGGAGGGATGGGGGGCGGGCGGGAGGCGAGCGTGTGCGGGGCTCCAAGGCCTCGGTGAGATCCAGCCGGCGGGAGCGCGCGAACCCCCGGGGTCTACGTTGGAGGTCGGCCCCGATCGTCTGCAGTCATCCCTGGGGGAGGCGTGGAGGGAAGGAGATGCGGGGTGGCCCTACCCAACCCCCCCACCCCGCCCCCGTCCACCGACCCCCGGGTTCCGAGGCTCGGTTCACGCGCCGGACCCGAAGCTCCGCCCCTCCAGCCTTAGCTCCGCCCACCGCGCCCCTTGCGGGGATTGATGGGGGGCTAGCGTGAGCAGCGCGGGGGGAAGGGCGGTTCTAGCGGAGGACGGGGGCGGTGCCTCCTCTTCACGGATCCTTCTTTGACCCCCAACCCTCCCCCCACACACACACCGGAGGATGAGGATTCCCGCCCGCTCCGCCACGCGATCGCGCGCGGGGGGGGCGGGGACCAAATGGCAGCGAGTCGGGGACACGGGGACACGCGTGTGCGTGCGCGCCGCGTCGGTTCGCGGGCGTCTACAGTGCCAGTCGGCTGGGCTCCGGGGTCTGCGTTTACCCAGCGTGCAGCGGGCACGAGCGCGGCCCCCTCGGCGGGGTGAGCCCCGGAAGGCGCCTCCCGGGGTGGGGGGGGACTGAGGGGAGATCTGGACCCCCACCACCCCCTCCCCATGCAGCCCCCACCCGCCCGCTCGGCCCGGTCCTCGGCGCGGGTCCGGCTGGCCCCGGCGTCCGGCCCCGCCTCGCTCCCCACCCACCCCGGACGCCCGTCCCGGCTCCGAGGCGCTCCCCAAACATCGCCGTCCCACGTGCACCAACTCTCCGAGTCTCTCCTCCCTCTGGGTTTTCTCGCCCTCTCTCTCGTTATTTCATGCGAACCCCCACCCGCCCAGGAGTGACCTCGTCCCCCCCCCCCCGCCCCCCTGCTCCCCGCTCCAGCTGATAACCGCGCTGGGAGTAAAGTGGAAGGGGTGGGCGGGGCGGGCAGAGGAAACTTAGCATCCAATCAGAGCTGCTGAGAGGAGCGGCAGGGCCAATCAGGAAGAGACATGCCGTGGCCCCGCCTTCCCGACACCTATTGCTGGGCTCGTCTGCTCCACCCTGGGATGAGGGCGCAGGAACTTTTACTACGTGGTCTGCAAACGCAGAAAGACCGGGGGAGAGGGGGCTCTGAGACCCACGCGTGCTTCTTTGTTTCTTTTGCCAGTCCTGGGGCTTCAGCTCTGGGGCTGGGTGTTGTCCCTGAGTCCCCCCCCCCTTTTTTTCCCCCTCAAGCCTCGCACTCTACCACTTGAGCCACTAATTGGAGATAGAATCTCACGAGCTTTGCTACCCGGGCTGGCTTCGAACCGCGATCCGCAGCTCTCAGCCTCCTGAGTAACTAGGATTATAGGCCACCAGCGCCCAGCCCATGTGGATCCTGATGCAGAAATCTTAGATATCTTGAGGGAAACAAGGAATTCGGGGGGAAAAAAGCAGGGCCCAAAATAAAGAAGACAAAGTGTGGGGCTGCTTCAGTGGCTCACATCTGTCATTCTAGGTCCCTCAGGAGACTGCGATCTGAGGATCCTGGCTGGAGACCAGGAGGGGAGACAAAGTCCCGGATGCCTGACCTCCCAGTTTACTCACCAAGAAGCTGGAAGTGGAGCTGTGGCTCACGTGGTAGAGCATCAGCCTTGAGTGGAAAAAAGCGCAGGGCCTGAACCCAAGCCCTGCATTCAAACCCAGCACAATAAATAAAGGAGACCAAACCACTGGCCCATCAAGGTTTTACTGATGGCAGAGCAACGTTTTTCCCGCTCAGCTGGCCTAGAACACCCCTGTCTCTGCCCGCGGATGCATGGCCCGGCACTTGCACAAGGAGACAACTCCCACACCGAGAAAAATTCCCACCACGACGACGATGGAAGTGGAGGCCAGGGCTGTGGACGTGCGGCTCTGAGCTGAGGATGCGAGGTGAGGATTAGGAAGGAAGATGCCCGCCGTAACAGCCCTCCCTTCCCTGCCTCCCCCCCCCCCAAGCCTCCCCCTGGGCCGGGGAGGGGTCCTCACCCAGGAAGAGCAGCGTGACCGGGGCGGAGTTGCTCTGGATCACCAAGCCATCGAGATTGAGGCGCGCGTGGCACGTCCAGCGTTGCCAGAAGTCGTGGGGCCTGGCGGGCACCACGTGCGTCAGGGTGACATTGGCCAGATCGGGACCCTGGAAACGCTCCAGGCTCTCGGAGTAGATGAGCCGGCCGCCGCGCCGGAGGCTCACCACCAGGAAGCCCACGGGGAACACGTGCGTCACGTGGCAGCGCAGGGTGTACTGGCGGCCCTCGAGCACCGGAGGCTCCAGGATCACGCTGCGCGGCCGCTCTAAGGCAGGGCAGAAGGCGGGGGGTCCTCCATGAGGTCCGCGGGCGCGCCCCTCCTCCCACCTCCTTTCCCTCCCCCTCCCCCTCAGTCCTCCCCGGGCCTCGAACCCTGGGGCCCTCACTGTAAGCGTTGATCCTGGCCGTGGCCTGGCGCGTGTGTCCCGCGCAGGTGACGAGGCAGACCGCGCTGGAGCTCCAGGCTCTCACCTCCAGCAGCTGATAGCGGACCCAGCCCGGACCCTCGAGCGCCGGGCCCCGCTTCAGCCGGGTGCGCAGGCTGGACGTCGCCGGCAGGGGGCAGCTGTGGCTGCAGTTCAGCCACACCGAGGCCCCGGGCGGCACCTCCGCCAGCTTCGGGGTTAAACGCACCCAGAATGGCACCGAGGGCCCCGAGGCAGCGGAGGGGCTCACTCCATACCCCTGGGCGTGCCGCGGATCCCGCTGGCTGCCCCCCTCTCCCGGGTAGGCGGCCGCCAGCAGAAAAGGGAGCCACAGAAACGTAGGCCTCATGGCCGCGAGCCTACCCCAGAGGGGCCCAGAGCCGAGGGAGCCCAGGCTGGCGCTGGAGATAAAGAAGCCTGGAGCCCCACCTTTGCAGACCCGCCCTGGAGAGGAACTAGAGGCCCCTAAGAGGTAGGGAACCCCCCCCCCCCCCCACACACACACACACACAACCACCCTTCCAATCCAGAGCCTGTGTTCCACCCAAAATGGTATTGCAGTTTCCTGGTCAAGAGTCTTTGGTTTTCCCCAAAGATTATTATTATTATTTTTATTTATTTAAGTCCTAGCTCTGGGATGGCCGCCTCAGGGGCTTTTGCTTCCAGAAGGAAGTGAGCCTTCAGGGGCCTCCACCAAGCAGCTTAGAAAGAACTGGAACGGATGTGACACCTGCCTCCAAGCTGAGGCCCATCAAAAAGCTTTATTGGCACCAAGAAAAAGTTTCCAGAGCTGGGGTGGGGTGTGGAGGGGTGCTCCAAGCTGGGAGAGGGGCGTGTGCAAACCCCCCCACACACTGCTGGGGGGGGGTTGATCAATGCAGGAAGTGGAATCGCAGAGTTCTCCCCAAGTATGGTCCAACTGAGATGAAAATGGGCAAGCTCAGGCAGATCATGTGACTGGGACTCCAGACTTGAGGTGCCAAGCGCTGGGCACCCGTGTTTAGGCACTGTGAATGCTAGCAGAGACGTGGGTGAGGAAGATGGCTGGAAGTACCAGGGCTGGAAAGGGGGCACAGGAAAAGGCTCTGGGAGTGGCCACGGACCACGTAACTATGGTCCATGGTGAGGCCATATAGTGCTTTTGTGTCTGGTGTGTGTGTGTGTGTGTGTGTGCATGCCAAAACTGGGGCCTGAGCCACAGGGCTCTGCTTGATTTTTATTTTATTTTTTGTCGGTAGTGAGGCTTGAACTCGGCCTGAACACTGTCCCTCAGCTCTTCAGCTCAAGGCTAGCGCCCTACCATCTGAGTCACAGCGCCACTTCTGGTTTTCTGGTGGTTTACTGGAGATAAGAGGCTCTTGGACTTTGCTGCCTGGGCTGGCTTTGAATCGGGATCCTCAGATCTCAGCCTCCTGAGTTGCTAGGATGACAGGTGTGAGCCACCACTGCCTGGCTGAGTTTTAATTTTTAAGAAAGAAAGAAAATTAAAAACAAAAAGCCCATCTCCAAGCAGCTCAGTCAATGGAATGAGAATCCCAGCCCCACATGATCTCTTTTTTTTCTTTTTGTCAGTGATGGGGCTTGAACTCAGGGCCTGAGCTCTTTTGTTCAAGGCTAGTGCTCTACTAATTTGAGCCACAACTCCACGTCTGGCTTTTTGGTGGTGAATTAGAGATAAGAGTCTCGGGTACTTTCCTGCCTGGACTGGCTTTGAACCAGGATCCTCAGATCTCAGCCTCCTGGGTAGCTAGGATGACAGGCGTGAGCCACCGGCGCAACTCCAATAGGCTGGGTGTCCCATAAAGACAGAGATCTGCGTTACCTGTGGACATCTTTCTAGCTTCCATGGAAGGTACTCAATAAATAGAAGAAACATCACAAAATAATAAATACATTATCGTGGGGAGCTGGGGACAAGTCAACTGACAGCAGGGCCTGAGCCGGCATGGGTCCAAGGAAGGCTGGACATCTGAGATTCCATCTGGGGTCACTTCTCCCTTTGGGCCACGGGGGCCTCAGGCCAGGCAGTAGAAGATGATTACAGGGCTTCCTGGCTGTAGGGCCCACGTGGCCATTTTTACAAGATCTCCATCGCCATCTGCCTCCTTCTGTCCACCCAGGTCAGGTTTCCAGGTCTGATCCTGACTTCTCCTTTTGGCTCAGTCTCAACACTACAGGTCAGCTTGTGTGGCCTGGGGTGTTGGGGGCGGGGAGGGCCCAAGGGGTGAGGCTGTCTTGATCTCCCCCCCCAAAATGCTGCAAGCATCAGGAGGCCACGGCCCCTGGCCTCTGTCACCCTGAGGAGTGACACGCACGTCTGCCGTTCAGTTCAATTCACCAGCAGTGCAGCCAGTCAGGGGGTCCCCGGAGGTGGACGGGGCACCGGGGGGCGTGGCCTGTGCCTTCAGTTTCAGGGCCACGGCTTCGCGAGCCTTTTGTAGCTTGTACTTCCGGATCTTTCGCTGCCGGTTGTAAAGGTAAGCACCGATGGCCACGGCGCCCAAGGTCAGTCCGATGGTCACCAGGATGATGGCTACTAAGTTCATGCCTGTCCAGAGGAGGCAGGAGAAGAGTTGAGGGGGGCGTGTTGGGGAGCCGGCCTCACAGCCCCACCCTTGCCAGCTGTGCACACTGAGATACTCACCACTGATCACTTTCAGGACCACCTCGCGGGTGACCGCCCCTCGGGAGCTCACTGCCCGGCACAGGTAAGTGCCAGCGTGCCTCTGCTTGACCGGCCTCAAGTCTCCGATGGGCAGTGGAGCTCCATCGTTTGTCCGATTACAGCTCAGATGCGGGGCTGGGTTCCCCCAAGCTTGGCAGATCAGAGTCTGAGAGGACCCCTCTTCCCAAGTCCAGTTGCCCAAGCAGTCTCTCTCGTTTAGTCGGGGGCCATCTAAAGAAGAAAAAAAAAAAGAAAGCAAGATGAAGGGCAGATGAAGAAAGCAGATGAAGGACTCGCCTCCCCATCTTAGGCTGGAGGGGTGTGGCCAGGACCCCCCCCAGCACAGGGCTGGCTCATTGTCTCCAGACGCCCCACTCACACAAGACACGGAGCTCCACGGTCCGGTTCTTGTACAACACCTGCCCAGACACCTCCAGTTCAGCAGAGCAAGAGAAGCGACGCCCATGATCCTCGGCGCTGGCGTTCATCTGGAACTGGGCCTTGGAGGACGGCGGCTCGGCTGGGGCGCTGCTCAGGGTCACTCGAGCTCCAGCTGGGGCTTCGCAGGACACCATCACCAGGTTCCCTTCCGACACCTCGGGCTGGCTCAGGGTCAGGTTGGGACTGGGGAAGCCTGTGGGTGGGGCACACAGTGAGCCCCTCCCCTGGTCCTTGGTCGTCTTCCCTATTGAAAGCCTTCCCGCTCACGCCACAGATCTGGCCCTGTCCACAGCCACACCCACGAAGCCACGCCCTAGAGCCTGGCCACGCCCCGCGGAAATCCACCACTTCCAGGCCACGCCTCCATAGGAAGCCCACTCGTGTGCAGGCTCTGCCAATCCAGGCTCCCTCTAGCGTCAGACCCCGCCCCCAAAGCAACAGACCACGCCCCCAAGGAGGCCTATCCAGTCAGACTGGACCTCCTGAAGAGCCCCGCCTACTGCAGACCACGCCTCCAAAAATCACTCAATCCCGACTAAACCTCCAGCGTAGCCCCGCCCCACTCTAGACCACGCCTCTGGCGAAGCCCCGCCCCTCCTTACTGTAGACGGTCACTGTCCTCTGGGTCTGCCGAGTCTGGTTCCCCAGGCTGACCGCACACAGCAGGTTCTGGGGTCCCTCCTGGTCCGCTGTCACCTCCACTGTGGCCGTGGCTGACACAGAGTCCTTGCTGTAGGCCGTGGTGGAGTTCAGCCTCTCGCCCCCTAGCTCCAGGTGTATCTGGGCCTCCAAGGCCGGGAACAGTCCGTCCAGCGAGCAGCCCACGCGCTGCCGGGTGCCAGCCTCCAGGGCCACGGGCACCTCCAGGACCCCGGGCGGCATGGAAAGTTGCGGGGGATTCATCGGCAGGACTGCGGAGAAACGGTGGGCGCGATCAGAGGCCTTTGCTGTAGCCTGCTCACTCGCTTTCTGGAAGATTCTCCTACCTGGAGATCTAACACCTGGGCCACCCTGATTACATAAACCCTTTAAGGAGGGTCAGCTTCTCCCACGAGAGCCTGCAGCCACCAGCAGCATATCCCCTGGCCAAAGGCAATATTCTTTCCAGAAACTTCTACAAGCCAAGCATGACTTCTCAATACCCCCAAGCTAAGGTTCCCTACCCTCAATCCAGGAAGTCCACCCTTTCCCAATGCCTCACCGAAGGTTCGCAGCTGCCTGGGGGCCGAGGTGTTCTGGAACAATCCCAGCCCGTGTGGCCGCAGATCCAGTTCCGTGGCACAGGAGAAATTGGCGCCGTGATCGCTCCTGAGGGCCAGCACCGTGGCTGTGACCACGGCCGGCTCCCCCAGCACGGGCTGCCGGCTCAGCTCCTCCTCCCCGCGGAGCAGCACCGCGCTGAGCTGGGCCCGGGGCTCCCCGCCCGCCACCAGGCAGCTCAGGGTGAGGTTCTGGTCCACCGGATGCCAGGGGGGCAGGGGGGCCAGCTCCACCGTCTCTGGGAACCCTGAAAGGGAGACAGGGGCGGAGGGAGTGAGTCCCCTACATTTGCCAAGCCTCCTAGCTGCAGACACACAGGCCACACCTGTCTGGCTGGGAACTTAACTTTCTTCTTCAAACAGTGCAACACCACCTAAGCACGCAGGAATGCCAAGAGCTTCAAGGGAAAATGGAGTGTCTGCAAGTGTTTATCCAGGAAACAAACACATTCTTAACTCACTGACACAATGTTTGATGAGGAGAAAAGAATCTGGGCCGGGCTTCGGTGGCTCACACCTGTCATCCTGGCTACTCAGGAGGCTCAGATCTGAGGATCACGGTTCAAAGCCAGCCCAGGCAGAACAGTCCGTGAAACTCTGATCTCCAATAAACCACCAGAAAACCAGAAGTGGCACTGTGGCTCAAGTGGTAGAGTGCTCGCCTTGAGCTGAAAAGCTAAGGGACAGTGCCCAGGCCCAGAGTTCAAGCCCCATGACCAAAATAAATAAATAAAAAAATAAATAAAAAATCTAAACAGGGGCTGGGAAGGTGGCTCAGTGGTAGAGCGCTTGCCTTGCATGCCAGAGGCCCTGGGTTTGATTCCTCAGCACCACAGAAGCAGGGAAAAAAAGCCGGAAGTGGCGCTGTGGTTCAAGTGGTAGAGTGCTAGCCTTGAGCTGAAGAGCTGAGGGACAGCGCCCAGGCCCAGAGTTCAGGCCCCACGACCGGACCAAAAAATAATAATAAAATAAATCTAAGCAGCTCACTCCACAAAGCATGGATTAAAAGAAGAAACTGGAGGGCTGGGCATGATGGCTCACACCTGTAATCCTAACTATGCACACACATGCAAACACACAAAGACACTTGAGGGTTAGTTTGGGGCACTTGCCTGGCAAGAGTAAAGGCCCTGGGTTCTATACCCAGCACCATATACACACAAGCCCCAAAATGTTACCCAATAATGCCAAGGGGGGTGGCAGAACCAAAGAAACTGTATGGCATTCCTAACTTGTATGCCTGTGTTTGTGTGACTTGGCCTTTCTGAGCCTCAGTTTCCTGAGCTGTAAAATAGGGCTACTAGAGGCAGACATGGCTCATGCCTGGAATCCTAGCTACTCAGGTGGCTGAGATTTGAAGACTGATTTGAAATCAACCCAGGCAGGAAAGTCCATGAGAATGGCACACACGTACAAAGTCAAGACAAATCTTGCCCATGGAATTGTAACCCCTCTGTACAGTATTTTCGCAATAAAAAAATAAAATAAAAGTCAAGACAACTCTCAGAGATCTAGCGCTGAGGTCTAACCACTTTCTATAAGGTATAGCAGATAGAATTTTGAGGTCTTTTAAACCTCGACCCCACAAATTGGGACCCAGCAGCCCTGAGGCCAGTTCCCTGTCTGAAGTAAGACAGAGAACTGGGGGGAGCCTGGGAGCTCTCAGCTACTCCCTAACCCTGCCTGACCTTCAGTCCTGCACCAAATCCCGCACTCACTCCATTCTTCAAATATTTGTCTGCTCCTCCCTTTTTGGATCCTGCCACACCACAGCCTGGTACATCTCATGGCCAGAGGCTGGAGTGTGTGTGTCTGTGTGTGTGTGTCGGTCATGGGGCTTGAACTCTGGGCCTGGGCACTGTCCCTCAGCTCTTCAGCTCAAGGCTAGCGCTCTACCACCTGGGCCATGGCGCTATTTCTGGCCTTTTCTGTTTATGTGGTGCTGAGGAATCGAGCCCAGGGCCTCGTGCATGCGAGGCAAGCACTTTATCACTGAGCCACCTTCCAGCCCCCAGCACCTGGCTTTCTCCCCCTCCTCCTTTTGACATAGGTTCTTGCTATGTTGCCCAGGCTGGTCTTGAACTCATGAAGTCAAACCATCCTCCTGCCTCAGCTTCCTGAGTAGCTGAGACTGCAGGTAGAATTTATCATTCTTCCTTCTTTTCCTTCTCTGGCTCCTGTATTTACCAATGCAGCTTCCCCCAACCCATCCCCCGCTGCTCCTAGGAGCGCAGTCCCTCCTGGCAACAGACACGTCCTTGTTCTTTTATACAGTTGTATACTATTCTTTGTATGCTCCAACCACCACTATGTCACTGACTCTCTCCAGTGGAATGGCTGAGAGACAGGCTCAGCCCTAGGGGGCGTGGCTCAGGTGTAGTATGGGGCGTGTCTTAGCTGTGGAGGTGTGGCCCAGTCATGGGGGCGTGGCTTAGCTGTAGACTGGTTCCACTGTGGGAGGCAGAGGCTCTGCATCAGGGGCGTGGCTTCGTTTGGGGTAGGGCGTGGTCCCATGGTGGGGGGCACAGCTCATTGGCTCCGTGGTGGGGGCGTGACTTGGGTTGGAGGCGTGGTCCCATTCCCTCCCACCCCAGCTTTCTAAGTCCAGTTCCCTCTTCCTCGTGCGCCCCGTCCAGCAAACTCACTGTACACGGTGATGGTGGCCTCGAAGGACATCTGGACACCGTGGCACGTAGCATAACATATGGGATTGCTGGTTTCGTTGATTTCACTCAGTTTGTACAGCTTCCAGTTGCCCCCAGAAGACAGATTCATTTTGGGCAAAGGTGTCTCCAGGCCCAGGTAGCTGGGCTCAGCACAAGGAGCGCTGCAGTTGAGCTCCAGGGACCCGCCTCGGGCCAGGACGGGATTCTCGGGGCGTACCGAAGTGGATTGCTGCGCACCTCCGGGGCCTGGAAGCAAAACAGGACAGACACATCGGTTGCTATGACAGGACCCGACTGGGTGCTGGCACGCGGCCGTGAACCAGACCCACAGCGAGAGTCAAAAGCAAACAAGATAATTAATAACGGATGTTAATAAGAGCTCTGGCAAAAACAAGACAGGGCCAGAGAAAGCCAGGCTTTATGGCTTAGTGACTGATTTGAGCAGAAAGACCGGAGTGATGGGAATGGGCTGGACTTTCAGAGAAGGGGGAAGTGGATTTCAAGCAAAAGAACATCACATGCAAAGGTCCTGAGGCGGATAGTGGGAGTCCAGAGAACAACTGGGGAAAGGAGGAAATGAAGCCAAGAAGGGTCACGTAGGCAGTGCTAGCCGCGATAAAGTGCTGTGGCTTCGGGCTAGGAGTAGCTCTGGGGTACCGTCTGTGTGGCATGTGCTAACCCTGGGTTCCATCCCCAGCAATGCAGCAAAAAATAGCCTGAAGTCTGTCTAAACCCACCCCGCCGCTCCCCCCAGATTCCTTGTCCTCAGATGACATGGAGACTGGATGTTCACCAAGGAGAACCGGGAGTCTCCAATCACAGAAGGAACAGGGGAGGATTGCAAATCTCCCAGAGATCCAATAGCTAAAGTTCGATTTCTACACACACACGCACACACACACACACACACACACACACGCACACACGCACGCACACACACACACACACACAATTGTGAGCAACCCAGTTTTTGCTAAAAGTGGCTAGAAGGCATTTCTCAAGCAACTTCTTTCACAAAACACACGTGAGGAACAGGATCTGGCTCTTGCTCTTATTTCCTACAGGATTCCTTGGGCCCATGATTTTTTTTGTGTGCCAATCCTGGGACTTGAACTCAGGACCCGAGCCCTGTCCCTGAGCTTTTATGCTCAAGACTAGCAATCTATTATAACTAGAACCCCAGCTCCAATTCTGTGGGTTTTTTTCTTGGGGAGGGGGGGGTTGTTTTTTGGTGGTTCATTTGGAGATAAAGAGCCTCTCAGACTTTCCTGCCCAGACTGGCTTCCAACCTCAGTCCTCCAATCTCAGTCTGTCTGAAAAGCCAAGATTACAGGCATGAGCTACCCAACCGACATTGGCTAAGAGCTGCTACAGCAATCTGGTCACCAACCAATTGGAGATGATCGGTTTGGAAAGATCAGAAGGACAGAAAGGAGGCAGAGACCTCAACCGAGGAGATCAGATTTGATTCATCGCTGAAAAGGGGTGCCCAATACCACCGGGCAGAGCTGGAGACCCAAGAAGCAGGTAAAGTAGGGAGTCCAGAGTTTCAGAGTAAAACAGGAGCTGGGTTCTGGCAGTTGGTAAAAGGCTCCTTCCCGGGGCCGGGCATAACGTCCCACACAGGTGTAGTTTTCTCAGAAAACTGCTTCAAGGCGAAGACTTCCAAGAATGGCGGGGAGGGGAGGAGGGGGGAGCACAAGTCTGAGTCCCATCCCCACCGGCCTCCCCCCTTCTCTGAAGCAGGGCTCTTGTCGGGAGGGCAGGTTTGGGGTGTCCTGGGACGCCCCGTGTCTTAACTTTTGGCCCGTGATTAAGTCAGCCACTCCTGGAATTCCCCCTGCCTGGACTTCCCCAAGGGAAGGGGCCGAGTGTCTGTACTTGGGGACCCCCTTCCCCGCCCCCCCTGTGGCTTAGCATGGGGGCCAGAGCAAACTCCTGGGGTCAGGGGCTGTGGGGCCTCTGTGTGTGTGTGGGGGGGGGGGTGTCTGGCTTTCTAAGGTTCCTCAACTAACAGCTGAGAAACGGACTGCCTGCCCGGCATAGTGGCTCAGGCCGTGCGCTCTAAGCAGGGGGCACCGGTGGCTCAGGCCTGTAATCCCAGCTCCTCCGGAGGAGGCTGAGATGGGAGGCTGGAGGTGTGAGGCCAGCGGGGGGAGGGGGGAAGCGGAGGAGGAAAGGTTTCCAATGAAGCAGAGGAAGCAAGAAGTGGCACTGTGGCTCAAAGCTCAGGGTCAGTGCCCGGGTCCTTGAGTTCATGCGCCAGGAGTGGCGCGCGCGCGCACACACACACACACACACACACACACGAGTGCAAATCTACCCAGACCACCCACACACACAAGGGAGGACTTGAACTCAGGGCTAGCTGTTAATGCAATTGGTGGTTTTAAGTCCCCCCTTCCACACCCTCTTCTCATGAGAGCTGCCCAAATCGCAAAGGGCCTGTCGGGGGTCAGGGGTCAGGGGTGGGGGGGGTCATCTTCCGTTGCACCCCAGGTCTGGGGAGGCCCGCTCCCCGGCCCGCCCCGTCCCCCGGCCCGCTCACCTGGAAGCAATGCCGCGATCAGGGCGAGGAGCAGCGGCCCGGGGCGGGCGGGCGCCATGGCCGCGGGAGCCGGGACGCCGCGCGCTCGGTGCGGACCGCGGCGGGGCCGCGCGCGCCCGCCTTTATAGCCCGCGGCCCCACGGGCCAAAGGGCGGTCCCGCCGCTTTCCCGGAAACCTCCCGCCTTCCCCCCCAGAACGTGGGTTCCGGCATTTCCGGATGGGGTGAGCGGCCCGGTCAGCCGGGGGGGGGGGGGGTCCCGCCCCGCGCAGCCCCGCGCAGCCCCGGAATTTCCCAACTGAAGCAAGGGGGGGGGGGGCGGGGGGCGTGCACCGGGAGCGGAGGGGGCCGGACCCCCCCAGGGCTCACCCTGGCCTCCCCCCGCCGGCCCCGGACATTGTCACCGCCCCCTGCACCCCAACTGTCCCCCGCGTCCATTGCGCGGGAGGGTAAACTGAGGCTGGCGCTTTGAAGACATCTGAACCCAGTCTGGATGGCACGCCCCACCCCTTGCACGCGCCCCACCCCTTGCACACACACGCGCACACAGGGCTCGTCTTTCGGGGTGCAGCCCCCCCCCGCCATCGCTTGGCGCTGCGCCCCTTCCCTCCCCGCCCAGGCGACTCGGAGACTTCCAGAGAAGCGAGGCGAGCAGGTCCGGCACCTGCACCCCCCCCCGCCCGGTGACGCGGCGTCCGCCCTCCCCCCCGCGCCCCCCCGCTTCCGCTTTCGGTTCTGGGCGCGGGGAGGGGGGCGTCTCAAGAGTGGGGGGGAGAGGAGGGAAAAGAGGAAGTCCCGCGGCCGCGTGGCGTGGGACCCCCGCTGCCGCTGCCCCCGGTCCTCCGGGGAAACTGAGGCACCGCTGAGTCCTGGGCCCCCGAGGAAGGAGAGAGGGCGCCGGGAATGCCACCTGTGGGGAAACTGAGGCAGCGCTCGGGCGGGGCGTGCGGCTGGGCCCTGGAGCTCATGGTCGGGGATGGGGGCCGCGGGCCGCGGGGCGCCGGGTCTGAGGCTTCCTGTTGTGCGCGGCCGGCGCGGTCGCCATGGAGACCGCGGAGGGGCAGGGAGGTCGCGGCGCAGCACGGGAAGGGAGGGGAGGGGAGGGAGGGCCGGGCGCGCGCGCCTTCCTGGGGTCACCGCCCGCCCCGCCGCCCAGGCTGTTCCGAAGGAATTTCCACGGGGATCTTCGTGTCTTGGGGGGTCCGGGGCGGGGAGGGCGGGGAACTGCATCCCTGCCCCGGAATGGCCTGGCGCAGAGTCACAGGGAGAAATGAGGGACCTGCCCGCTCCCGCGGGGTCCGGAAAGCCCTGACCCCCCCCCCCGGCCGCCCCCGGCCCCCCAAAGGGGGCAGAAGGTTCTCTCCAGCTCGGGTTCTTCGCCCCTTTCCCGGTTCCCGCGCGGCGCGCCGGCGCCCCCGCGCGGCCGTGCCGTGGACCTGCAGCTGCGCGCTGAGCTGGGGACCCAGTGTGTGTGTGTGTGTGTGTGTGCGTGAGTGTGTGTGTGTGTGTGTGCGTGAGTGTGTGTGTGTGTGTGTGCGTGAGTGCGTGTGTGTGTGTGTGTGTGTGTGAGTGTGTGTCCTGAGGCTTGAACTCACGGCCTGGGCGCGGCCCCTGAGCTCTTCCGCGGGAGGCCAGCGCTCTACCACGGCTCCACGTCCTGTTCCTGAGTGGCTCATTAGAGATAAAGAGTCTCCAGAACACTTTGGTGCCCAGATTGGCCTCAAATCATGATCCTCAGATCTCAGCCTCCTGAGTCACTGGGATGACACACCAGCCCCGAGCCACCAAGCACCTGGCTAATGAATGGACGTTTTATGTTATTCTGGGAGATTTCACAATGTGACATGAGTCTGGGAAGGTGGCTCAGTGGTTGAGTGTTTGCCTAGCATGCATGAAGCCCTGGGTTGGATTCCTCAGTTCCACAGGAAAACAGAAAAAGCTGGAAGTGGCGGTGTGGCTCAAGTGGTAGAGCGCTCGCCTTGAGCTGAAGAGCTGAGGGACGACACCCAGGCCCGGAGTTCAAGCCCTGACCCCCCCCCAAAAAAGTTGGGGGTGTTGGTTGGAGATCTGAGCCCCTGGCAGGCCCCTTCCTGAGGGGGGATGGTAATGAGGAGCAGACTGAGCAGGGGAGCATCTCCCAGGCGCACTGCCCAGCCCCGGGCTGCGGCCTGGAGGAAGGGCAAGGCTTCCTCCCTGGTGCCAGGCAGTCGCAGGCCGCCGCAGGCCTCCGCAGGCCGGGCTCACTTCAGGCCCCGGCAATCAGCAGCTCTTTTCTCCCACACTCAGGGACGCCTCACAGCTCCCTATACCTAGAACGCTCTTCCACTCAGTTTTGGTCAGTTGTGGGGCTTGAACTCAGGGCCTGGGCGCTGTCCCTCAGCTCTTCAGCAAGGCTAGTGCTTGACCACTTGAGCCACAGCATCACTTCCTGTTTTCTGGTGGTTTATTGGAGATGGGAGTTTCACAGACTTTTCTCCGCAGGGTGGCTTTGAACCGTGATCCTCAGCTCTCAGCCTCCTGAGTAGCTAGGATGACAGGTGGGAGCCACCAGCGCCCAGCTTTCCACTCATTTTTTATGCCCTTCCTGGGATTTGAACTCAAGGCCTGAGCACTGTCCCCTGAGCTCCTTTACTCAATGAAAAAGGCTAACACTCCACCACTCTCAGCCACAGTGCCATTTCTGGTTTTCTGGTGGTTTCTTGGAAATGACTATCATAGGATGGCTTTGACCCATGGTCTTCAGATCTCAGCCTCCTGAGTAGCAGGGATTACAGGCAGGAGTCATTTGAGCCTGGCTGTTCTTTTTGTGTGTGTGTGGGGGGGGAAGAGTTGAAGCCCAGGCCTGGCCTCAAATTCTCCATCTTCTTGCCTTGGTCTCCGCAGCGCAGGGATTACAAATGTGCGCCACAGCACCCAGTATAAGCCTCATTATTCCCGGTACTGAACTCAGCACCTGCTGAGGTATTTTGGATCTCATTTGTTGCAATTCCACTTGTCTTCACATTCATCTCCCGTAGACCCCACGGTGCAAGGGGCTGGAAGAGGGGAGGGGTGAGGCTGTTGGAGAAAGCCAGGGCTGTTGCTGATTGGTCCATCTGGGAGCCTGTTACAGAAGACCACTAGGACAGCGAGGCCCAGGGCGAAGGCTGCTTCCACCCCGCCAGCCTCCAGCTTTTAATCGAGCCTCAAGAGAGGCTGCGATTACAAGTGTAAGCCAACCAGCCCAGCTTGCTTTCTTCAGTTGTGTTAGGGATGGAACCCAGAGCCTCATGCTCAAAATAAACAAGCTGGCTCACATCTGTCATCTTAGCTACTTGGACAGCTGAGCTCTGGAGGATCGAGGTTTGAGATCAGCCCTGGGCAGAAAAATCCAAGATTCCATCTCAACAGTAGCTGGGTGTGGTGGCACCAACATCACCTCTGCTACCCAGGAAGTGTAAAATAGGAGGATGACCCTCTCAAAGTGACCAGCATACAAAAGAGCTGGAGAGCTGGGTGCCAGCGGCTCACACCTATAATCCTGGCTACTCAGGGGGCTGAGCTCTAAGGATCACAGTTCAAAGCCAGCTTAGGTAGGAAAGTCAAGAGCTAAGGGCCAGCTCCCAGGCTCCGAGTTCAAGGCCTGGGGTGGAGGCTACAAATGTGCTAAGGTAGAACAACAAAATGATTGTCAGCAAAATGCCAGAGGTGAGAAGTGTGATTTTTTTTCCCCTCCGAGAACCAACTTTGCCAATGCCCAACTTAGACCTGTAGCCTTGTCGACTGGAGGAGACCCAGGCCTGTCATCTAAACCCAGTGGGTGGTACTAGTCTTACTTTTTAGTAGGTTCTGGGGCTTGAACTCAGGGCCGGGGCACTGTCCTGAGCTTCTTTTGCTCAAGACTATTGTTCTACCACTTGAACCACAACACCACTTCTGGCTTTTTCGGAGTAGTTTATTGGAGCTAGTCTCATGGGCTTTCCTGCCCAGGTGGCTTCGAACCCTGATTCTCAGCTCGCAGCCTCCTGAGTAGCTATGATTACAGGTGTGAGCCACCTGTTACACCTGCGGGTTCTACATATTACAGGGAACCTGTCACCCGTCTGCTGTATCAGAGCCCTACATATATCCCAGAATTGCTTTCTTCTGTGACACTGGGGCTGGGAACCCAGGGTCTTGTGGTCTGCCCAATAATTATTCAAACAGGGTCACTATGTTCAAACTGGAACTCCTGGGCTCACATAATCCTCCTTTATCTCAGCTTCCTTCTCCCTGTAGCTGGAACTACAGGCATGACACACAGTGCCCAGTTCCATGTCAAGATTAGAAAGCGCCTTCTGGACATGCCATTCATTCCTTCTGATACTCTGGGCATCTGGGCAGGGCGGCCGGCGGAGCTAAGGAGGAAAGAGTTCCAGTGTGGAGAAATGAGATACAACACATTCTTAGGAAGTCTGTGTGGGCATGGACTCAGGCTTCCTGAAAGTTCTCATGTGCTTGACAATGTGTCTGTGCATGTAGCGGTGACTTCTCCAGGTTGTGGGGCCTCCGGGGCCCAGAAGACGCAGCGTTCCCTGGACCTCCCGGCCCCACCCAGCTGCGGCTAGTCCCGTGACCTTGCTGTTTGAGTTAACTCTGAGTTCTGGAAGCAAGCCCACAGTCCAGGGACGCCTCTAGCCCCAGGGCCCAGGGCCAGGCAGCGGTCACCATGATGGCCACCCCAAGCCAGCTTCATTTCTCAACTTATTGTCAGTTGTGGGGCTTGAACTCGGGGCCTGGGCGCTGTCCCTCAGCTCTTCAGCTCAAGGCAAGGGTTTTACTGCTTGAGCCACAGCACCACTTCGGTTTTCTGGTGGTTCATTGGAGATCAGTCTCACGGACTTTCCTGCCTCAGCTGGCTTTGAACTGCGATCCTCAGATCTCAGCCTCCTGAGTAGCTAGAATGACAGGCGTAAGCCACCAGCACCTGGCTTCTCAATTTATTTGAATAGGTGAGTTCTTGTGCTGTAGTCTGGCAGATCCTAAACTCATGGGATCCTCTGGCCTCAGCCTCCTATGAAGCTGGCATACCACTGTGCCTGGCCTAGCTGGTTTTCAAA